TGCAAAAATTCTCTTCCCTTGTAAAGAGAAGTTGGGGACCTAAGATAAAAGATAAAAGAAATATATGTTACTTATTCACAGATACATATCTGTCTTGTCTTGATTCATTGTTATTTGTTAATATCCCATTCTTCTCGTTTATGTTCTAAAATCATAAAAAACATGGGTATGGTTGAATATGTTTTTTTTTAATAAAATTTTTAAAAATTGATTTTGAGAATAAAAGAGAAATTATAAAATTTGTTTGAGTATAATTAGATTTAAAATTATAAAGAAGTTATAATTATTTATAAAAATGTCATTAATAAAATTTTATAATTACAATATTGTTACCGTAAAATGAACTTAAAATAAAAAAATTATTTACAAAAGTGTCATTAAGGAATCTTCATATTTACAAAATTGCCACCGTAAAAATAAAAATAAAATCCAAAAAAAAACTTTTGAGAACATCACTTGATTGTTTTAATTTTTTCAGTTTTTAAAACTAAAAAAAAATCATTATTTTGGGAGTTATTTTTCAAAACAACCCTCTCTAAATAATTTTTTTTATTTTAAAAACTCAATTTTTTTTTTTGAGAATAGAAATGAAACGACCCATTGTTTCGTTATTTTGTTTTAGGGTTTATGTTTTTACAATGAGAAAAATGTTTGTCATTTTAAATGACATAAAGATATGTCATTTTAAATGACATAAAGATATGTCATTTTAAATGACATAAAGTTATCTCATTTTAAGAGAGAGATAGACACGAGAAAATATTTTTTATTTAAAATTTAAATTAAAAAAAAAACCACCCACTTTTTATCCCATGATTTTTATTCCTTGTGTCTATCTCTCTCTTAAAATGACATAACTTATGTCATTTAGAATAACAAACACCAAATCCTTTTACAATAGTGAATACAAATAAATTATTTACATTCACTTTCAAAATGACATCATTTTATATTAAAAGATTTAAAATTATAATAATACCAAACAACATAACCAAGATAACTTATTTGGTTCTTTGTTTTATAAGCAATGAAGCATTCTTTGCCCCGTCTTCTCTGACTATGTCATAAAGCAGAATCTGCAAATCAATTTTTTTTTTTTTTTTGATAACAAGAATCTGCAAATCAATTTTCAATAACATAGTAGGGTAACCTTTCCTTCAACAACGATCCTCAGAAAAACTTTTTTGTATCTGGAAGGTGTAATAGATATCCTACATCTTTCCTCTTCCCCATGTTCTCTTAATCACGATCTTTCCATTACAAAGTCAAGCCACGTCTTACTTCAAACGATAAAATACAACCATATAAGTTTAAAGTGGAGGGATTAATGGAATTGGCCTACTCAACAAGATTCTCCAACACTTTGTTGGGTGTGCATTTGTTTTCCAAGTCAAAGTTAAGTTGAAAAGTTTATATTGAATTATGCAACTATGAATGGTAAACATCCAATTAAAGTCTTGTAGATCATTAAGCTTTTATAAAGATACATCTCTAATTTTATTTTTCTATTATTTGCATTGTAGAAATTGTTTTCCTCGCACCATCTTTGAACCCACAAGCATTTCTTTATGTCATCTCGATCTTGCCAATATTTTGCATCGTTCCTTACCTTGAATCTGGTAGGATTTTTTTTTTTTCTTAGTCCTCGAATCCGTTTCGATTTTATTGCCCAATTAACCACAACCTTGCCCATCTTTGTAGAATAGTCCTAGCAGCCTTCAAGTTTATACCAGGAGAGTAATGCTATATCGTTCTGTCAATGTTTTAATTTCTTAAAACACAAAAAAATATTAAATGAAAAAGAAAAAGTATTTACTATCTTAAAGACTTAGATTATATTTAGTTTTATTTTATAATTAAAATAGATTGATTGATGAGGCAGTTTTATTTTTTAACTGATATTGAATTATTCTCCCTTCAATACTTAATAATTAAATTAACTCTAATACGATGCAATCTACTTAAATAAATAAAACAATCCTTAATGAAGTTAAGGGTGTGATTGAATAAGTTTAAAAAAATATATTCTATGATATATATATATATATTAGAAAATTTTCAGAAGCTATTATTTTAACTTCGAAAAAACACTAAAATAACTTTTTTTACGTTTTTATTTTTTTTCTAATTATTATAATTTTTGAAACATATTTTTAATTAAAAATTTACCTTCTTTTGAAATAACACAAATATATAAGGCTAAAATGTTAGTAAGCATAACATTCGGCTATTTGACCATTTTGTCCCTCATTAATTAATTAATAATCATTTTTCCCCTGATTCGAAACTATCTATCAATATGCCCCTCTTTAATCGACTACTTTGCATGTTTAATCGACTAAATGGTTGTTGGAAGATTTAATCGACTAAATCTCCCTACTTAATTGATTAAAATCATACTGACTTATTTTTTTTTTGTCAAATATGGAGATTTAGTCGACTAAATAAGGAGATTTAGTCGACTAAATCTCCCAACAGCCATTTTTTGTCTGTTTTGGCCATTTAGTCGATTAAAAATGCAAGGTAGTCGATTAAAGAGGGGCAGATTGATAAATAGTTTCGAATCAGGGACAAAATGGTTATTAATTAATTAATAAGGGGCAAAAGGATGAAAAATCCCATAACATTCCCCATTAAAATTAGACCTAAAAGAATGCATTTCTTATCTTAAGGTTTTTTTTTAAAATTGAACCGGGGCTTTTGAATTGAGTTATAATGACCTCATTTGATGTACTAAGATGCATTAAATCGAGTAGATGAAAGCAAATAAAACTGTATTTAAACATAACAATAGAATGTCAAGTACAAATGGGCAACCATTATCTCGGATTCCATCATTTTATAGTCGGAGATTCGGAAGAGTGACCATTTTGTCACATTTGGCAAAAAAAATTATTAGACTGCTACGCCAACAGTAAATTTTGTCAAAATGTCACGCGGCATATTTCGCTACACTGTGTAGCAAAATATGTTTGCAAGTAATTCGTTACACAGTGTAGCGAAATATGTCATGTCAGGATGCACAGTCAGCAAAAAATGACACGTGTCAAGCGGGCAGAAATTCGCTACACTGTGTAGCGAATTATGCTTGAATTCTGCTTGTTTGACACATGCCATTTTTGTTGACTGTGCAGCCTGACATGACATATTTCGCTACACTGTGTAGCGAATTACTTGCAAACATATTTCACTATACAGTGTAGCGAAATATGCCTCGTGGCATTTTGACAAAGTTTACTGTTGACGTGGTAATTTGATAAATTTTTTTGCCAAACGTGACAAAATGGTCACTATTCCCGAAGATTCTTATGTATAATTTTTAATGACTATTTGTAATTAAAGTGTGATGTTAAATATGTATCTTGATTATTTATTATATTTAATAAAATTTAAAAATTTAATTAGAAAATGAAGAGCTAAAAAAATATTTGATAGTTCATTATCATCTATAGGACTTATCGTAGCAACTTGCAATGCTACGTCCAACCCAAGGAGAGAATTTATTGTGGTCTGGGACCACCATTTTTAGGTGGTCCCTTAGTTTTAATAAAAGAGTAAAATTAAAAAAGAAAAAAATAATAGGGAAAAGAAAGAAAGAAAAAATTAGTGTTGTGAGAGTGAACACCAAATCATTGAATAATCCTGGAGCATATTAAATATTGTCCAACCCAAGTGACAATCTTGTTTAGAGTAAACGTCGTCTAAATATTATTTTATGATCAGACAACAAGAAGCAACTCCTGCTTTCCTTACTTGTGTGCTGCAATCCCAACATTACACTCAATTCATCATAAATTCAACCCTTTCAAATCTCTATGAATCTGGACATAATCAAGGCACCCTTCATACAACGCCTCCGTGTATGAAGTATCTGTTTGTTCTTTATTAATATATAGAAAAGATAACTTTTTTTATTTTTTATAATCTCTTTATTAATATATATATATATATATATATATATATATATAGGGATATGATATTGTAATAACCAATTAGTGTTATTATCAATCAATTTTACTGTTAAATCGATTATATTGATCCCGCGGTTATATTTATTTCCATCTTTGTATGGTTATGTTTCCCCATATTTAATGTGAAAGCATTAAATATGAAAAATCATAACCATATAAAAGAGGTGAAAATAAATTAAAGTATAAAATATGGGAAATCATAACCATACAAAGATGAAAATAAATATAACCATTGAATCAACATAATCGATCTAACAGTAAAATTAATTGATAGTAATATTCGTAGTAACACTAATTGGTTATTACAATATCCTTTCATATATATATATATATATGAAATAAATCATTTCCTATCACATAGAAAAACGCTAATCCCTGATTATTACAATCTATCTTTGAATTGCATGCTATCTGATAGCAGTTTCTACCGTTAGACTTTTATACTTTTTGGTTCAATCTTTGTCTCTCTCATTACTGTCACTTTTCTCATTAAATGAATATCCAAGGAGAGAGGAAACGAACACAATTACGCAAACACCCCACCCACAACTATGTGAATACAATTAATATATTTTGGTCAATGGCAATAATTATGCTTATCCAGGTGTCATTTCTCTGCAAAATCTTTAGTTCACATGAGAATTAAATTTTAAGAGTTTTAATCGTAATCCTATTTCTCTGTTGCCATTGGATTATTCCTTCCTGGCCGCTTGAAAAATAATAAAATATGAAAGTTGTAGAGTTGTTTGTTTACGAAATCATCAATTTGGTATATGGTTGACATGGATTAATAAATTATAGAATTATAATTTATTCAAGAGTCTTTTTAATCACTACAGTATTTGTTAAGAAAGCAAGAAATAAAAAATATTTAATATACTTAAAACCTAAAAAATCAATAATTTTTTTTTTTTTCATTTTTTAAATCCTGATAAGTGCGGACACTGGTTGACTTCTTTAACACTTGCCTTTATTTAATCAAGGTCATGGCTTACATAACATTACATAACATATCATGTACAGCTGAATATTTCCAATAGTCTCTATATAAGCATTTTCCTTCTTCACAAAAACAGCAAGTTCGTGGGTTCTCAGTTTGGTACTTTCAGTGTATAATTTAGACATAGATACTGGTATAATTCCTTTTAAGAAACTAAGCTTAACTTCTCATGACAAAAATGTGACTGTGCAGTTGACTCTTAAATAGATTGTTCCACTAATGAAATCTACTTTTTCTGCATAATTACTGTGTTCTTTGCAGGTTATTAAGTGTCTCTGGAGCTTAAATGAGTCAGCGTGTTAGTGACGAGGTTGTGGCAAAAGCCATGGGGGAAATAAGAAGCGGGTCTTCTTCACTTCGACATGGAGATCATACCTTGCCACATATTCATAAGGTTGGAGCTCCTCCTAAGCAGACACTTTTCCAAGAGATCAAACATTCTGTCACTGAAACTTTCTTCTCAGACAACCCCTTAAGAAAATTTAAGGATCAAACAGGATCAAGAAAGTTTGTTCTAGGCCTGCAATCAATCTTCCCCATTCTTGATTGGGGAAGAAGTTATGATCTTAAAAAATTCAGGGGTGATTTGATTTCTGGACTTACCATTGCAAGTCTTTGTATTCCTCAGGTGAGTAGAAACTTGTGAATGATATATTTATACAATAAATATTGTGGTATGTGTTTTTATATTACCACACTCGTTAACATGTGAGTGCATTCAGGACATTGCATACGCAAAGCTTGCAAATTTGGACCCCCAGTATGGACTATGTGAGCCATCTTGATTTGTATTAAGCGATTTAAATACATGTTAATTAGCTCTTCAGTTTCAGTTATATGACTTGGCTTTCTGTCACTGTGTGCAGACACTAGCTTTGTGGCTCCTCTTGTGTATGCTTTTATGGGAAGCTCAAGAGATATAGCAATAGGACCCGTAGCTGTGGTGTCCCTCTTGCTTGGGACTACCCTTGGCGATGAGATTAGTAACTACAAGAGTCCTGATTACCTGCGTCTTGCATTTACTGCAACTTTCTTTGCAGGAATAACTCAAATGGCACTTGGAGTTTTCAGGTACAGTACACTGTTGGATTGGTAAATTATTTTGTTCCTTTTTAGCTTTGCCTATATTCATTCTTCTTGTGTTACAATCTATTCGTGAATTTTGCAGGCTTGGTTTCTTGATTGATTTCCTATCTCATGCTGCCATTGTGGGATTTATGGCTGGAGCTGCCGTTACTATTGCACTGCAACAGCTTAAAGGTTTGCTTGGCATACAGAACTTCACTAAGAAAACTGATATTGTTTCTGTCATGCGCTCAGTTTGGGGTTCAGTGCACCATGGGGTAAACCTTCATTTCTGTTTTGATTTTCTCCTTCTTTATTGATGAAAAAAGTGAAAATTTGGCTCACAAACATTTGCTTCAATCTTTGCTTACAGTGGAATTGGGAGACAATAGTCATTGGAGTGTCATTCTTGGTCTTTCTTCTTATAACCAAGTATATTGTAAGAATGCTAACAATTAAAGCCTTCCTTTCTTCCTTTCCATTTGAACTTTCATAACTCTTCCTGTTGGAATGGACAGGCTAAAAAGAATAAGAAATTCTTTTGGGTAGCTGCAATTGCTCCTATGATCTCTGTCATAGTGTCCACCTTTTGTGTGTTCATTACCAGGGCCGACAAGAAAGGTGTATCAATTGTAAGTAGCATGAAATTGATGGAAAAGTTCAAACAAAATTAAGCACTGTAAAACTCATAAAGTATATGCTATTTCAGGTGCGACATATTAAAAAAGGTGTGAATCCATCATCTGCCAGTGAAATTTTTTTCAGTGGAAAATATCTTGGCCCTGGTGTTCGTATTGGTGTGATTGCTGGTATGATAGCACTCACGGTAAGCAAATTTTACCCATGATTCCTCATCCCTTAGAGAACTCTTCTAGACACTTAAGCCAAATTCGTTAAACTTTAGGAAGCTGTAGCAATTGGGAGAACATTTGCAGCCATGAAAGACTATTCATTGGATGGTAACCAAGAAATGGTGGCAATGGGAACAATGAACATTATTGGCTCCCTTACATCTTGTTATGTGGCAACAGGTACAAAAGAAGGCTCACTCAATCATGTTTGAATCTCTGCTAGAAACCTTGTAAAAAAAAAAAAATTTACGTGCCACTTTCATCATAATAAGCATTTTTTTTTTTATCTTTATGCAGGATCTTTTTCTCGCTCAGCAGTAAACTATATGGCTGGTTGTAAAACTGCTGTATCAAACATCATTATGTCCATTGTTGTATTATTAACTCTGCTACTCATCACACCGCTATTTAAGTACACACCAAATGCAGTGCTTGCTTCTATTATTATAGCTGCCGTGATGAACCTCGTTAACATTGAAGCAATGGTTCTGCTGTGGAAGATTGACAAATTCGATTTTGTAGCATGCATGGGAGCCTTCTTTGGTGTGATCTTCAAAAGTGTTGAGATTGGCCTTCTAATTGCGGTAATGAAAAAAATCAAGAGAAATTCAAGAGAAATGTTTGGAATTTTTGCATCTTCAACTTTGTCTAACCAGCACAGTATTTAGTATTTACTGAACCTTTTCTTTATGTAGGTGGCAATATCTTTTGCTAAAATCCTTTTACAAGTAACTAGGCCAAGGACTGCAGCACTTGGAAAGCTTCCAGGGACTAGTGTTTACAGGAATATCCAGCAATACCCCAAAGCAACCCAGATTCCTGGCATGCTGATTATCAGGGTTGACTCTGCAATCTACTTCTCAAACTCCAACTACATCAAGGACAGGTGATTGATTGTTATTCCTAACATATCTTTAAATTTGTAGACACTCCTAGATCAAGGTTAAGAAAGTGTTGATTGGTTCACTTAATGGAATTGAGCCTGATGAATGATTTCAATCATAATTTTATAGAATTTTGAGATGGCTGACTGATGAAGATGCACAAAGGACAGAAAGTGGATTAACAAGAATACAGTATCTCACTGTTGAAATGTCACGTAAGGCTTTCTATGAAATCCTTTGATCCTGTTTTTTCATGATTAATTTTGATGAATGATTTTATTCACGCATCCATATTCTTGCAGCTGTTACCGATATTGACACTAGTGGCATCCATGCCTTTGAAGATTTATATAAGAGCCTTCAGAAAAGAGAAGTCAAGGTAAATGAATAATCACAGAATTCAACATTTTCAACATCATTAGTCATTAATATAGGAATTCTTCCGGGAAAATCTCTAGTTACAGATCAAGGTTTGGTCTAGGGTCTTAAAATTTGCCACAAATGTTTAAAGGAATTCCAGAATCCATGTCCTGTATAGTATTTTCTTGGCAAAGTTTCAGCACATTTATACAACCATGCTCCTCATGCCATAGCTTAAGTCAGTCAAATGAATTGCTTATGTGAAAACAAATTCATCTATAATGATATAATTATGAACAAAACAACTTTGTAATAAAAAAATTTAATGACATTAATCTCTATGGTCTTTTCGCAGCTTGTCTTGGCAAACCCGGGGCCAATTGTAATGGAGAAGCTCCACGCATCCAAGTTAGCAGACTTAATTGGGGAAGATAAAATCTTTCTATCTGTGGCTGATGCTGTTGCAACTTTTAGTACTCCTAAGGGTGAAGTATGAAAAAATAAATAAATAGCTGTTTCAATTTAAATACCAGTAAAGGGTGGAAGCTGTTCAGGGAGCTCATAGGAAAGCTAATGAGCCAAGGGTCATGTAGATTTGTTTGATTCTGTTCGATTTATGGTCTCGATGTATAAAAACAAAAGGGGGATGAAAAATGTGTTTTGTTTTGATTATACCTCGTGTTTATCTTACTTTGTGGAAGCAATTGTTTTCCTTTTTGATATACATATGCTCAACGGTTGCAGAATAAACCAGAAAAATGAAAATTGACTTCATGATTTGATGGATAAATGGATGCGTATATTATAAATAAACAATGTTTCAGAGTTATAGTTTATTATACTAGATGACCTGCGCATAATGCAATAACCGATTACTAAATTAACAATATGTCATACTGAAATCATCAAGATTGTGGAGTAAAATTTTCTAATTTTTTTTTCGCAGTCTAAGATATAGAGGTACATGTATCAGCAAATTATTGGAAAGTAAAATTTTCTAACCGGAATGATTGTGTTGGACTTGGTTGCATGCATTAGTATCAGAATCTTCGTAAGTTCACGATGATACTCTAAAGAACCAATTCAACCCAAAAGCTTAAGTTGTTGGGTGAGGCTATATTAATTGTTTTATATATTTCAACACGCACTCTCACACGCGAGCCCATTGGGCTTGGAGGGTGGCTCACCTACCTGTGCAAAGAAAGAAATTCCACTTGAAAGAGAGTGGGGGGCGGACAATGCACAGGCTCAATTACCTGTGCAAAGAAAGAAATTTCACTTGAAAGAAAGTTGGGGGCAGTGAGGATCGAACCCGGTACACCGAGGCTCTCATACCATGTAAAAAACTAATTCAACCCAAAAGTTTAAGCGGTTAAGTGAAGCTATATTAATGATTTTATATATCTCAACAGGTACATTATGAATCTTTGTGTGAATGGGTGTTTTGAATGCGGAAACACTTATTATATGGTTTCTCCTCTTTGGGAGACTTTTTTCTCCTTGCTCCTTGGAAGACCTCATTTGGGTGGACATGTATCGAATTGAACTAAATTTTTTGAAAAACGGAACTGAATTCGTTTAAATCAATTCGCTTCAAAGAATCAAACTTTTTTTTTATCCCAAGCACATACAGGTTCGGTTTGGTCTGAAAATATTTCGGTTCGAAACCAGTTCGGGTTGAACCTATTATGAATTAAAATCAATTTTGAACTAGAAAACAGTAAGTAAATAAATAAATAAGAGAACAAAAGTAGAAAGGAAAAAAAATTAAATGAAAAGAAGAGAAAAAAATTGCTTAGGTTCAAGGTTTAGGGTTCATTCTTTAATAAGACTCTCAGACTTCTTATTTTTATTCATGGATGAGGAGATTTGTGCTAACATCTAAGCATAATAAAAGTTAAAACTGTTAGTTTCAAGTCGAGATTTAAACTATAATTTAAGGAAAATATTATATTTACAAAATACTTCACATTAATAGAGAGAAAAAATAGAAATTTCTTGCATTATACTTATCTTAAAAAATTTCTTCAAATTTTGAGGGGGGCGGTCGCCTACCCTACACCACCCTCGGTCCGCCCCTGGGTGTGACGGTAGTGGCTGCGACAATGGTAGTGATGGTTGGTGACAGTGGTGGTTATGGTAATGATGGCGTCATTGTGGTGGTAGTGGTGACGATGAGGGTGGTGGCAGTGGCATGTGATGGCGATGATGGCGGTGACGGCAGTGGTTGCGATGATGGTGGTGGTGGTTGATGGTGGTAGTGGTGACGGTGATAGTGGTGGTGGTGGTGGTAGCGGTGGTAGTTGTGATGGTGGTGACGGTGGCGTGGTGGTAATCATGGGTGAAGGTGGTGGTAATGGTGGCGATGGTGAGAGGTGGTACGATGACGTTGGCGACGATGGTGGCGGCAGTCGTGTCGGGATGATGGTGGTGGTGGTGGTGATGATGATAGAGGTGGAGAGTGATTAAGAGAGATAAGTGTTTCTCATTTTGTGCCCGGGAACAAAAAAGTAGAAATTTTCTGATTCTTTTTTCTGTTCCCCAGCACAAAAATTAAATCGGTTTATCCCGGGAACAAAAAAATAAATCAGTTTTACCAAACGAGTTTCCTATCCATTTCTGTTCCCGGGAACAGAAATTAAAAAAGAATTGATTCTGGGAAGGTAGTCATGCACACCCTTAGTCACTTTTGTTTACTATTAAGTAAAAGGAAAATACATATATTATGTTGTAGAAAAATGTTTAGGTTTATAGACACAACCAATATAGACCCCATTACTTTTAAAATAAAATAAAAATGGTGGGATCCACATTAATTATGTCTATAACATAACCTAAACATTTTCCTACAAGATAACATAACTATTTCCCAAACTAAAAATAAACAAACTCATGATTACTAACTTTAAAAAGAAACTCATTTAAAAGAGCCATATTATTCACGTAAATGAAAAGAATCAAGTCCTAAAAGTTGACCAATTCAAGAATATTGTTACATGAAAAATATAACAATATTAGAATCACGAGGAAAGAAAGAAAATTAACTAGATGTGTGGTCTTTCATGTTTTGCGCCCTCATTCTACTGCCCCATGATCCTCCACCCTTTTGAGCCATACGTCTATGAGATCTTCTCTTCAACTCAACCATTTGTTCCTGCCACCTACATCTCCAACTCTCATCACTAGCACTCATTTTGCTTCTCAAACCCAAATCATAATCATAATCTGCTCGAAGCTTGGGATTCGACAAAGTCTTGTAAGCTGCGTTGAGCTGCACAAACATCCTCGTTGATTCCTCTTTCTTGGAACGATCTTGACACACATCAGGATGGTACAGAAGCGCCATTGATCTATAAGCTCTCTTTATGTCATCCATGGTTGCACTTTTGGGACTCAAACACAATATCTTGTAGAAGTTCACGTGGCTGGTCTCATCCACACCCGAAAGCTTTGTGGCTCTGCATGAAACACCAAACTTCATACGAGGATGTCTTTGGTGTTTATTTGAGAGTGGAAAGAAATGAAATGGCTTGGAAATGCTAAGGCTTGAGCTTAAGGATATAACATATTCCATTGCTCTAATTAATTATCTCTCTATTTTTGAGAATATGGGGTGTTCAGTGTTCACTGATATATATACACATATATATATGAATCATAACTACTGCTTCAAGAAGGAGCTTGGACGCAGTTTGAACTCGTCTTATATTAATTAATTAATTGATTGATTGATTAAATTACTGCATCCTCTCTCCTTTATTTTGAGTTCGTTAAATAGAATTCTTTCTATTTTCAAACCTACACAGAGCTCTTCATATTTTATAGATGCGCAACATTCAAATTTTGATAATGTACTTTATATATATTTGTTAGTCAATAATCAACCGTTATTTTATTTTTTTTGTGAAATTAACGAAAATATCCTCACTAATTGTAGGTTTTGGCTTATCACACAAAATCAACTTTTTTTTTTTTTAAACTTTACACAAATGCTCTCGTATTTTATAAATACATTACAGTTGAATCCCTTCTGTTACAATAAAACTTTTAAATTATTAAAGACTTGAACTACAAATTTTTTAAAATAACATAAGAATAAACAAAACAAAAAAGTTATAGTTTCATATCCTTAAAATAACGATAAGTACTTTAAAATTAGTGCAAAAAAATTCAATTAAAGCTTAATCACATTAATTGTTATCGAGATGGATCAAAACTAATTCATTAAGATTAATTTCTCAAGTAAATGATAAAAAAGATATTTAAACTTAGGAAAGTTACATCCATATTTTCTCAACAAAAGAACTTTATAATTTTTTTTTCATTTAATTCTTGTGAAATTGACCCTAATAATCTTATTAGCATGTGACATCAATTCATGTAATTAAGTTTTTATTAAATTTCCATTGCAATAAATTAAATTATTTTCTTTATTTATAATTTTAAAGTATTCCTATTGTGTTACCTTAATATTATTTTAAGATTTATTAATTTCAAATTTTTACTATAATATAAGGAATTTTTTTTTATAAACATAATATAAGGAATTTAATTGCAATGAATTTATAAAAAATGGGTGTGTATGAGTAAGTTTGGAGAAATGAGATGTATAATAAGCTAAAACATATGTAGTGAGTAACAATATTTTCGTTGATTTTATATATATAAAAAAAAAACAGTTGACCATTGACTACCAGTTTCGGGAAATGCAGCATAAAAAAAATAGACTTAATTTTAAAAATGACGAGAGTTTGTTATAACAAACGCAAAAAAATGGAAGATTAGATTTATTTACTCTAATTAATTTAAAGTATAGGAACAGAACGCGTTCAAATTTTCAACAAAATGAAACTTCCCAGTATTAAAATATGGGAATTGAAATTCTAATGTTACAGGAATTTTCCATCCCTTCCTGCACAGACAAACATTGAGATGAGAGAGAAAATTAAAACAGTGGAGCCCATATGTATTTTTGTGTCTGTAATAATTGGGTACTGTTTTCCTGCAACGTTATATTTGTTTTCCCCTTGAAATATTCATAGCCCACGCGTTTTCGTCAAACTTAGGTCGGTAATATATATTTATTTAGGGTTTTATAAGAGTTATGTTCTAGGAAAAGTGATTGTGTTATGTTATAGAGATTCGTTTTGCGTGCCGAAGTTTTTTTTTTTTGCTGCGGGCCCCACAAAATGTTGTGTGTGTAGGAAAATTTTTGTGATCATGTTAAATGATAGATGATAAACCTATTTATTTATTGGGTTTGGGTAAAATATAGGTAATTGCATATATAGAGATGCCTAGCGTAGTTCCAAAAAAAAAGAGATACCTATAGCTAGAGATGATCATCTTTGTTAATTTCCTCCATTATATTAAGCGAATTTCAACAACTTTCTCACACAATAATATTGGTATTGACGGTTGAAAAATCTGGGCCAAAATTATCATGAACTTCTTGGTATGAGAAAATGGTCTTCACCCCATTAACGAATCTAATGCGAATTTCATTGTTCGACTTGGAAGAGGTTCAAGAGTAGGTAGAAAGAAAGACAAGTTATCCTCTTTCTTAAAAGAGAAGAAAAAAAAAAGCATTGAAAGCTAATAAGCTCATGAATGATTTGACTATTTGATAATATCTCAGAAGATCTATTGGGTCAACCATAAGCTAACAAGTGATTCTTTTATGGAATATGAGAACAAACGGTAAAATCTAAAGGTAATGGCAGCCCTCTTTGACTGATATAACCGATGTGTTTGTTTTTGAGATTTGGTTACTCCGCCGGCAACATTTTATATGGATAGAGGCAATGAACGACACGAAGTACGTCGTACCAAATCCAATTCATATATTGAGGTTCCCGTTGGATCGCAAACGACAAACCATCAATCCAAACATGGTCAAAAGAAAGAAAGAAAGAAAAGTAAATTAAGAAAATCGTTTTGTCTTGATAAAAAAAGAAAGGAAGATAGCAGGCCTTATTCCTTAAGAAAACAAAAATGAGGTTTTAAATTTGAATACATAAGAGCGAGAGTTGAATCAGTGGCGGAGCCGCTTTGAATTCAAAAAATTATAGGCGTATTTATTTTTTTAATTTTAATTAGTTCATATCATAATATATTTAAATTATATTAAATACAGAATATCTGAGCAAGTAATACTAAGAAGAGTTATAATTTTATTAAATATTTTTTAATTTTACTAAAAATAATTTACTTTTTTTATACAAGTGAAAATTAAACACGTAACCTAATACAACTAACCCGAATCTTTTACCAAAAATATTTTAAATTTTACATAGGGCCAAATTACAAATTGTAGCTCGGTCCAAATTACAATTTTAATTCGGGCCAAAGTATAATTAATTATATAAAAGTTATGTTTATCTCATTTTACATGAGATAAACAACTTTTCTACACACATAAAAGTTATGTAGCACCGATACTGACATGGGACACGATACGACACGACACTTCGACACGTTAATTCTAAAAAATGTCGGATTTTGACACGTTATGACACGTTTTGATTTTAAATAATATTTTTAATTTATGTAATGTATATTATATTTAATATTCAATATTTTAACAAAAAAATGAAACTAAACTTATAATATTCATCAATTTTGCAAAGAAACATAAGATATCCCAAATATATATATTAAACTCAATAAAATGGTAATCGAAATTCAACGAATATAATAGTTGAAACTAAAAACTCAACGCAACACAACCTTGGAATCTTTTTTTGAATTTCTATAACACGTGTTAGAGTGTCGGGAAGTGTCGGACACGACACGTTAGGGTTTTTGAAGTGTCGGTGCTTCATACCATAAAAGGATTGAGTCTCACCACTCTTTTTTCTCTCTTCTCTTACTTGTGGATCCCACTTATAATTTTATTTTTATAACATGAAGTAATTTTTTTGCTATAACATAAGAAAAGTATTTCATATTATATAATTATATATAGAGATTTGCATTCATAATGCAACATGACAACAAAAAAATTCCTACACACACAACATTTCATAGGGCTCGCTTTTTTTGAAGCAAAAAAAAAAAAAAAAACTACAGTACGAAAAACGAATCTCTATAATATAACATAATCACTTTTTCTATAACATAACTTTTATAAAACTCTTATATATAACAAATATAATTTGTTAAAATTTAGTCCGAATCGAAGCCACGCCTATAATACATGTGGCTCCGCCACTGAGTTGAATGTGAACCTAAGTTGAAAGAAGTAGTTAAGGTTGCGTTGTCTTTTATTGCGAATTTTCTTGGCGCATGCTCGAACCACACACTGGGAAAGTACAGAGAAACAAGTTCATTTACGTATGTTATTGTCTGAGGGGTTTGCACTTTGTAGTTCTTTTACAACAACTTGTGAAATGTAAAGGGAAAGAAAAGTGTGTTCTGCTCGAGGACATAGAATGGCATAATACAATATTAAACAAACAAGCGAGGAATAGAAATTCCAGCAAATATTTATTAGAAAAGAACAGTACTGAAGACAAATTGGAGTAGCTACACTTGTAACACATCAAAGCTCCGTTTTGGAACATAATGATTGCTATTGCTCCACTGGTCATTTGAAGCAGACGTCTAGGCCTATGTTGTCATGCTACTGCGGAAAACCGGGATCGTGTCTTTATGACCTCCAGTTGTCACTCTTCCTGGTACAATGTTGTCAGCTTGTTTAGATTTCATAGGGTGTCTATGGGAATAAATTTTTAGATATACTAATTGTCTTAGAATGTCTTGAGAAAATATGTATATCATACATTTTCAGTAACCTTGCAATACTGACATTGTCTACCATAGATAGGTTTGTACCATAAACATCTCTACCATATTTATGATACATTGATAATTTGTTTATCAAACAATAGTAAGTTTGAATATGTTAGGCCTGGATAATCTGATATGCGGTAATATCATATTTTAATTTGATCAAAGACAGAGCCAACATTATTATCAAAAAAAAAAAAAAAAAGACAGAGTCAACAACAAGATTTGACTATACCAACTGCTAAATAGGACATACAAAACAGGCAGGCTCCTTCAATAATTCAATGCCAAAATCTGGCTGTGTCTCTTCTTTCCCGTATCTTAAATTAATGGTCCTTGACCGAAAGAACCGAATAAGATTGTAAACCGAATCAAACCATTTCAAAAGATTAACGTTTTTTTAACCGACTCATCAAGAACGAAACCATTTTATGTAAAACCAGTTCAAGAATTGACCTTGTCAGAACTATTTTTCTTTTTCTTTTTCTTTATTTTTTATTTTAATTTTTTTTAATCTTAAAACAGGTTAATAAAAAACAATAAAACCAATTTGGTTCGCCTGTTCAGTTTCCAAATCAAACCACTAAAACTAATTTGCTTCGGTTTGGCATAAAAAAACCGAACCGAACCTACCCCAACCCTAATGAGAACAAATAGTTTTTACCGAATTGCACATGGGCAATTATATCATTCTAGATCTTGATAGTCTCGGGGGCCCCTTGGGACAAACCTTCGATGGCAGTAGTGATCCAATAGCATAGAGTACAGCTAGCCCAAACTCTTGACCAAGAAAAAATAAAAATGAGACAATGGTACCGGTGGGTCACTAGAAACTTCAATGAGTTTTTATAAATATGTGTTCAATAATATTTATGAGAGAAATATTTAATTGGGTCAAGGTCAATGTACCAATAACTGCACACTAATGATGGGCGTATAGTCATTGGTAGAGCCAAGAATAAATTTTAGGTGGTGCCAAAAAATTTAACATATCAAAATATTTATCATAATTATCCAAATTTAATAGGAAAAAAATTTACTATAAATTCTAGCATGTTTATCTAAATTATTTACTAAATAATATCACATAACATTAAAATTTAAATAAATAATTGCCAATAATTATATATCAAAGCAATAAAACAAACCAAGTTAAAAAACACCAACGAAAGTACGGAACGTCGGAACCCATATAACAATAACTCAAGAAAATGAAAAAAAAAAAGAATAAACATAATCGACAATAGCTCACCGAAATAAAAAAAATAATACAAAAAAACAATACAAAAATAAAATTACCAGACTACCAGAGCATGAGAGGAAGCAAATCCATCACTAGTATTCAAACTCATATTTTTTCTTTTTCTCTCTACCTCCCCCCTTCCCCCTTTTTAAAGCTTTTTTAAAGCTTTCAAAATCAAAATTAACCCCGCTTTCTGGCATCTCCATGCTGTAATGAGAAGACCCACCTTCGAGCAACGTGTCGGGTTGTGTGTCTCTAAAAGCTACTTCCATTTAATAGCTAGACTAAAATTAGAGACAGAGAGCAGATGTTTCATTTAGGCTGAATGTTTAGGACAAAATGAAGTGTATATAAATATATTTTAATCAAGTCACGGGGAGTGGTGAAATATTTGGGTAATTTGTATTAAGTTGTGTGTTTAATTTATACTTGTATATCAAAAAAATATGTTTTAATTTTTAAGTAGTGCCAAATTATAATTTTAACTCTGATTAAATTATAATTAATTATATAATTATATATAATATATACAATTTATTAAAAGTGAGCTAGTGTCAAGGTACTAGCAGGCACTAAAGTGGCTATGCCACTGCGTATAGTCAAGGTGTGAGTGCATATTTTTGGCAGCGTATAGCCAAGGTGTGAGTGTATATTATTGGCAGCAATAGAGAATGAGTTCAGAGATAGGTACCTGAGAGACTTTAACCCTTTATTTAGATAGGCTTTGTCTTTTGCTAGATAAGTTATTTAGATATAGATCCAGTCCATGACAAGTTCAAATTTCGGACTAGTGATGCATAATCACTAGCTGCCCACTTTCCAATTAATGTCATTTTCCCTTAATTGTTCAATAGATTGAAACTTGTTCATATAGATGGAGCTGCAATTATGCACATTTGTGACACTGGAAACTTGTTCAAGAGTTATACCAATTGTTCAATTGTATGCTTCACCTAATATATTGTTGCCATTGGTGTTTATACACATTCCGGTTGATGATGCATGCCAAATTTCATAATAATATCACCGGCAGATTATGATTTTTATTACCGTTCAGTTTGTACTTGTGTGAGATAAACGAGGAACGATCACCTAAATAGTATTTTTTACCAAACTGTTACGTGTCAAAGCTCGCTAGGACTAGTAGCGAACTTGGTTAGCTTATGATTTCGTGACACTTGACATATTTTCTCAGAAAAAACTAACTGGACCAAGTTCGCTGTTAGTAATAGCAAACTTGTTACGTTGCACGCTAATAGGAACGTGTCACATGGCTTAACCAAGTTTGCTACCAGTTGTAGCAAAACATATGATAATCTAGTAAAAAATATTGTTCGTAACACTTTGCTTACTATTCTGATAAACAAATAGGAATCAGTTAGCCCTATAAAAATGATCTCCAAATCAAGTTACAGAACACAAACATTATCTATGGTGCACAACACTACATAATTTGCCTCATGTCATAGCATTGGAAAATTTTTGCGCCAAAACCAGTTAATGACTTGCAAGCCTACAAAATCCTTGTTATATGATGAAGAGATAATATTTTTAATTTTTAAAATTTTACGAGTTAGTTTCGCAAGAAATCAATAAACTTTGATTAAAATCAATCGCAAAGTAGTTCAAATTTTATTTTTAAATAAAAGTTGTTCAATTTTGAAAGTTATAATTAAAGCACCGGAAACCATCAAACTAGTAGCCACGTGTAGCCAACAATTTAGCAATGGGAGGTGGTTGTGGACTTGTGGTGGTGACTATTAAGAAAGAAGCCTCTACCACTAACATTTTAGTCCCATCTTTTTTATTCTTTGGTGGGTCATGTTACTACTTGGAGCTTGACTTCTGGTTCAGAGCCATTTAAACACAAACACCATAACATTTCCTCCCTTTGTGTCTGCAGGCACATCAAGAAACCAAATCACACCTATATTAATATGGAGAAAGGTTATACTTATAACTTTTTTTTTATAACCATATCTTAACACTGTTGATTTTCGTCAATCAACGATTATCATTTTCTCAAATTAAACTCATTAATTAATTATTAATTCACAATAAATGATAACCGTTGATTGACGGAAATCAACAGTATTAAGATATAGTTGTAAGAGGTTGTAAGTATAACCTTCCTCGTCAATATCATTATAAACATATATAAATAATACTAATAAAATGACTACTCATATATATAAAGAGAAATGTTTTTCTCAAGTTACATAAATTTTTTTATCTCATGTCACGGACACATCACAATCCGAGCCAGCATTTTTTTTTTTTTTTTTTAACCGTGAGACCCACCTAATTATATCTCTACATGAGATAATATTATCTCATTGCCCATATATAAAAAACGAGAGTTCAATCTCAAATAGGTTCGAGACACTCAATGAATTTTATCTACTTAGTCACCATATAGAATAAGAAGGGATCCAATGGTTAAACTCGGAAAACATAAAAATAGTCCCTAATGTCATCTACCTAGTCTAAAAATAGAATGAGACAAAATCAAAAGCCCGAGAATACAGCTACCAAAAGGCTAACAAACATGGATACTGCTGAAATGGGGGACAATGCTGATGCTGCGTTCCGGGGAGATGCTTTTGGTGCTGGAGATAGCTCAGTTAAAGGTTTGTTTGGAGAGCCGCTTTCAGCTAGAACAAAATATTTATAATGATTCAAATCAGACACACAAATCATGTGAGAATCTCACAAGATCAACATTTTCTATACACATAATAAATTATTAATGCACAGATAGCATAAGTGGGGCAAAAAAAAAAAAAAAATTGATTGAAAGCAATGCAGATTTATGCAGAAGACATAGTGGATAACAGCTTTTGATTTTCAAATTTTATATTTATGTCCATACCTTGTTGATACCGACACTTCGTTATTATTAAAGAAAAGCAAATGCTTCCTCGTCATATTCAATTAAACATATATAATATATTAAATAACCAAAAAGTGATTAAATTATTGACAACAATAATAAACAAAGCTCACAACTAAGTTTAAATTATTGACAATTGTTTAAACTAAATTGTGCTAGGGGTATCAGAACATTTGCAGAGCACATGAACTGCAAAGGCAGAAGTAAGGTCCGCAGTTATATAAAATATAAAGATGTTAATTAAGTTAAAAGTTGTCAGCGAAAGGAATATCTAGATGATTAACAGCAAGTCACAGAATAAAGAAAAAAACAAAATCGGACATGCTTCTTAACATTTTGGGACTATACCAATCGAACATTTGACCCCCTTTCTAATTTGGAACGAAATTCAAAGATTTGTATATGGCACAAACCACAAAGTATTCAGATTTAAATGGCTATAACGTTATTAACGTGTCACATAAGACTGGGCTGAGTAAACATACCAGGAGCACCGGCGGGTGTTTCAGACACTGCAAAACAACGAAATCTCATCACTGACAAATCGAGAAAGGAATGGAATTTTTCTTCGACAGAAGATATAAAAAAATAAAAAAATAAAAACTCTCATATTGATTATGCAGAAAAATGAAAGAGAAGAAAAAATCTGAGAAAACCCAAATGGGGATTATTAAGAATAAACAACTCTTATAACAAAAATAAATAAATAAATGACTCACGTCCACATTTAGCGAGAGAAGGATCAGAGAGTTTGCAAGCAGCAGGAAGAGTCAAAGCCTTAGTGACATTCAAGATCACACCAAAGGTAGAGCTACTCTTGAAAGCTTCACAGAGGCAATCTGTAGAAGTCTCAAGCAGAGTCTTTAAGCCAGAGCAGCATGTTCCTTCTGGTTTGGTTGCGGTGCTGTCGTTGCTCACGAAGGACAAGCAATCAGCCATGTTCATGACCATGCTTGTACAATCGACGGACGGTGCTGGAGCATTGTTTGGTGAACCTGAAGCACAGTGAGCCACATCAACTGCCCAGATGGCCACAACACAGAGAATGAGTGAAAACTTGGATACCATGGAGATGAAAGAGAACGAAGAGAAAGATGCTTGGTGAGAAGATAGAGGAGTTAAATAAGGGCAGTGAGATTGTTCTGTTGAGATTCTTGAGATTATGGGTCTCAAATTTGGAAAGGGTTGCAAGAAGAGAGGATTTTTTAGAGTGAGTGTCAGTAGGTAGAGTAGTGCTTTATTAAAAGTTTGTTAATAACCGTTTCGATGGTATTTTTTTTAAGAAAAAATTCTATTCAGAAATTTTATATATTTAGATAACACTTTTTTTAAAAAATAGAATTTCAAATAAAAGTTAAAATATTATTATTTTTTTTTTTAGCAAATGATTAGTTGCTTTAGAAAAAACAGAAATTAAAAGATTATATAATTTTTTTTTCGGTAAACAAAGATAATATAATTTTTTAAAATATGATTTTAAGCTCATTTTTTTTTGTTAAACTATTTTAAGCTCATTCTATCAATCCTATTATCTCTTCTTATCGCACTATTATTTTATTTTAATTAAAAATTTTCCAACAACCACTACAACAAAAATGTTATTTAGCCACATTTTAAAATGTGGCAAACATTGATAAAAAATGTGGTTAATGAAATTTAACCTCATTTTAATTAAATGTGGCTAATAGTGGTGTTGCAATAATTTAACCACATTCTTTTATTCATTTTGCCACATTTTGACTAAGTGTGGTAGCCTTTTTTTAGCCACATTTATTGTTAATTTAGCCACTTTATAAATGTGGTTAAAGTATAGTTTGCCACAATAAACAAAATGTGGTTATTTATGTCTGAAAATAATTTTTTAGCCACATTCATATTCATGATGAATGTGGCTAAATATATGAAGTTTTTTTTTAATTAAAAATATTTCAAATTTAATAAATATTATATCAATAAAGAAAATAATATTAAATATTGCCCGTGCAAAATAATGAACACGATAAAACGTAAACCAAACTCTAAACCCTATATCCAATTTTGGATATGTAAGTTTTTTTTATTGATATCATTGAAGAATTTATACAAAAAAAATACATGACTAAATAAAGATAATACCACTAGAAGAAGCAGAAACGTGAACAGAAAATACAAACTCAAGGGTATTGAGACCAAGCAGGGTATAATGAGACCAAGCAGGAGCATTGAATTATTGATGAATGTTAATCATATTCCTAATAAAAAATAGACTATGTCAGAACTTTGAATCTTTTTGTAGTATGTAGGTGAAGCATTTTCCTATGCTTACATGTGAGTCAATACTACATAGTTCAACATTTTGGCAAAACTTAGTAGAGGTAATAGCTTAAATGATTTCTGGACAAGAGAATGAGGAAAGAAAAGAGAAGCATATAAAAATGAGTAAGATAAAGCTTTGAGTACTTCTTCAATGATTCTAGAAGGGCTGACAGCTTTGTCCATTGCAAATATTGTCTTCCCCATAGAGTTTTTCCTCCAAAGCCATGGCTTTTGGTTCATGATTTCAGGTACTGCTCAAGAACTAAAAGAGAAAACTTCATGCTATTGCACAATAACTGATGTAAGGAGAACTTCTTTTTCCTACATTAGTTTCTCTATTTGGTCGTAAAAAATTTCAATGAGTAACTCCGAAAAAAAAAAAAAAAAACAGAACCAAAGAAATATGGGTACAGGCTACAGAATCATGAATTTAAAACTAAAACTAATTTCCTTTTTCTAAATAACCAAATTCTAAAATCAAATCAGGAGAAAAGCAGTAGTTTTTCCGCAGTTTCATGTTTGGTGTATAACAAGAAACAAGATGGAACCTGTTGTGAGAAAAAGGGACTGAGATGGAACCTGTTGTATTTGTAGAATTCATGATATTAGGGGGGGGTAAATAATGATTGTGAAAAATAGAAACCCAAATTGATGCAAAAATTCAGTAAATTCATCTTGTGTGTATATCTAAAAGTAAAATAAAAACACAGTACTAAACAGACACACAGTAAAATAAAAGAGTTATATGAGTTACCTTCAAGTGGATGAGTAAACAACAACCATGCCCTGAGAAATCAACACATCCCTCAAGAAGCTTTCCCTTTCCTGGAAAAAACACACAGTACTAAACATGCATTCTTTGGTCGGTTCCATGTAGCAAATTGTGCCATATGTAGTCAAAAAATTCAAAAAGCCACTACTCACCACTTTTCCGAAGAAAGATCCAGAAAAACCACACCTTTCTTTGATTTTTTTTAATATTTAAAGGGACTTTATTTTATTTTATTTTCATAAAATCGAAATCACATGCAGAACCCAAGTTGCATCTGTGATACTCACTCCTCATTCAATTGAAGCAGTTTTTAGTAATTTTCAATGAAACCATAACTTTTATTGACAAGAAAAAAATATAATTTAAACACGAAAATACAAAATTTGCAAGTTTAGAGTAGAGTTATAGATACATAAACCAGATGGAATAAAGAACAAAAAAAAAATTGAAAAGCACGAAAAGAAAAAAGAACGTAAAGAAAAAAAAGAACAAAAATGGTTGATACTTGGATTGCAATGTATTAATCTGTTTTCATTATTTGATTCATGAAATGCTTACTTGTTAAATTCGATTATACTCTAGCCAATTTTAATTAGATATTTAGGATTTGGCTAGTTAAGATTTGTTACTGCAGGGCATTCTAGATTTTGTAGTTTTAATGCAATGTTTTGAGAAAATCAAAGCTCAATCTATTTCTATATTGTGATATTTGTTCAACTCAGTTGCCATTTTGTGTTATGTTCAGTGTTTTCTTTTCTATTGTTAATCGAATTCAATTACCCTCATGCAATCACTCAAAAGCTTCACTTAGACTTCATTAACTAATTAATTTTTTTCGAGGGAAACTATACTGATAGGTTACATACACATGAGGACTCATCCCATGATTGAAGGAAGCTTAAGTGATAAAATATAAAAGGGAATATGCTACCTGAGCAAAGACCATGAGCAGGTGTGGCTTGAACTCTATGTATACAAGCACAAGAATTGGATTGAATATACAATGATAAAAATAGAGGTGGGAGGTTAAAAAATCTAAGAGAAAATAATAGCAATACAGACTTACACTCTGGAAAAAAATATGCTTTCCTTAGAGCAGGGCGTTCATAAGGTGCTACCTATGTAAGAAAAATAACAGTATGAGGTTCACTTGATAGAAATTTAATACAAAATTTCAAAAGAAAAATTAGAGAGGACTGAATGCACGAGATACTACAAGGCATATGCATAATGAATCTTCACCACCTTATCAAAGAAAAAAAGAATAATTTTTATTAAAAATTAGAAAGATAAATTATTACTAGTTGTACCTAAAAAACTAGTAACAATTGTATTTATGTTAAGCGAAGAGTTTTATTTCTGCTGAGTCACATCGTTTTTATTTGACCAAACCCATTCTCCGTTTCCCACCTTTCTTGAAAAAATCAAATAAATATATATTAACTCCTATTCCTGTAGCATAACCTTTCTTAATTAAGAAGTTCTAGTTTCACCCTTTAACTTAAAAAATCCAAGATATATATAAAGAGACTCCCCCCATTTAGAACATACAAAATATCAAATCCCAAACCTTTGCAAGCTTCTACTGATATCTCAGAACTCTGTGTGATGGAGAAGCAGCTTAAGCTGAAGAACAAGATCTTGAAGATACTACCAAAAACAGTTTCAGCAATCACTGTCACATTTCAAAACCCTTCGTTCAGCCCAGGTAGGGATCTTGAAGATATCTTAAAGATTAGTACACTAATCACTATCAAACCTGATACTCAAGTAATGGTTTCGCACATTTCGATTTGCAAGACTCTTTAAGATATCTTACTAATCTTGCAAGACATTGTCAAGATTAGTACTTAAAAGAGACAAAGAACTCAACATGATAAGAGTCATAAATCAAAGTAAATATTGATTTGGTATATGTCAGCTATTTTGGATAGTACAGTGTATCATAAATCTAGGAAATGAGATAGCCAGCCCTCATAGTTCAACATCCACGGCATATAAAAAAGCCAAAGCATACATTCAAGAACCAAAAAGTTGATGTTATTCTTATTTGAAGACAACTAATTTCTTCTTCTAGTGATGTATAATGTATAGTGTATCATCTAAATAATGCTGAAAAGAAATGTTTTTGTTGAATAAGTAAAAAGACAAAATGATATAAGCATGTCGACCCAACAAAAATAACAGAGATTGAGATTTAAAAGATACATTTCCGGTCCCAATGAATGCCACATCTTGCACAATGTAACATATCAAACGATAGAGATGAATATGGCAACTGTTTTGAAGTGAAAGAAGCAATCATAGTAGGAAGACCCCTCTCGAGAGTGAGTTGAACTTGACTGCCATAAGGCTTATAGTTTGCAATGCACATAGTTAAAAGTTGACTGTGAAAGAGGTGCGCTTCAAAACTACCATAGCCACACCCATAACCAATGTCTATTATAGTTCAAACTTGCAAATCTAAGGATGCCAGCATGCTCAATCAAAAAAACATTATAGGCAAAGAATATCATAGTCAAATTTTAAAAACTCAGTTCAAATTCAATGCCTCCATAACCATCCAAAAATCTAAATCAAGTCCATCGAAGTCACATATATCCAATCTATGTGACTTGTTAATGGATACTGCAGCATAACCAATATTGTCTGTACGTGGCATTCATATAAGAGAAATGACAAAATTGATAATCATATAATAAAAAACATAGATTTCACGCTGCAATTTTAATGAGACTAGTTTACACCCCTTCTCTGCTTAAGTTGAAATGCATATGCATAACAACATTTAGATCTATGCTAGATTATTTATACTGAATATGTGCTCAAATATCTGTGCTCATGACGATTGAATTTGATAGTAAAAAATATAAAAATTAAAAATATAAAAAAGAATATTTGCATATCAAATAAGCAAATAGTACTTGTAATCAACCACAACCAAAGATATAGCAAAATGTAGCAGAGTAATGTATCAACAAATTAAAAAATTGCAAAATAAAAAAAATCATGCTCTCTATCAATGTCACTTGTATAAGCAAAATCAGGACCCAGAAAATGATGAGAAAAAATAAGAAGCAAAGTTAGTTTAAACACCAAGAACATCCAAAACCAACCATGATCTACTAAATCCAAGCCCGAAATTGCAAAGTCAAATAGACATGCAAAATTTCCAAAACAATAAAAATCACAATTGTTCATATTCCGTATATAAAAGCATAAAAATAAAATTCAAGAATCGAGAGAAAATTTTGGATTTACCTATTTGCCGCAAATAAATCTTTAACCTCAATTTCTTTTTTCTATTTTCAATTTGCCTTGTGCATCGATTTGGCGGAGGGAGAGTTTCAACAAAGCAAAGCATCAACGCGCGAAAAATACGAGAGAAAATGGAAACGAAGAAAAGGAAACAGACCTTTGTGGTTTTAAGTATTGACGAAGTGTGGGAAGAGAGACTGAGGGAGCAAACCTAAGTTTTTTATTTTGCGTTAAACAGGGAAAAAGTGTTTATATGATTATAGAGGGTCTTGAGGGTAATTTTGCTACGTGTATAAATAATGTAGTAAATTTTTAATTTTTAATTTTATTTACGGTGATTTTAATGAATGTGGCGAACTGAATGTGGTTAATGCCCTCATTTTTTGTGGTGAACCTATCACTTTGCAATCAAATATCGAGCGTGTCGTTAGTTTTTGGAATATTTTCATGATTGTAATGTTTTTTTTTCATTTTTTCATTGAAAATGATTGCAATATTTTATTGTGACTTATCATGTATCATTTAATTTTTAATTTTTGTAGTCATTATCTTTGTATATAATAATTAAATAAAAATTTGTAAAAAAAATTCTAATTAAATAATGTGAATGTTTAAATAAATAAAAATACTGCACCATTATTATCACAATTACCAAATCTTGGCTAATGAAAACAATTAATCCACAATAATAAAAACAATATAGGCTCCAGCCTCCAGAGTTTGACTACTGTGGTCTGAAATAGCATTCATGGCAAATGAAAATGAATAAAACTCATTGCGAAAGTATTTTGCATTTAGTAAAAGAGATGAAAATTTCACACTTTACCATATTTATTTGCAATGTGAACAATAGACCTAAAGAAGCACATTAATTCAATGAATAATGTCAAGAAACACATTAATCCAATGAATAATGTTTCATACTTTTTCAACCATGGTGCATTTCGCACATGTCTCCTGTTTGTTCTTAGTTCATGTCAAAGACATTATCAGCATAGTTAAAATATGACAATACCCAATCACTACGCGTGTACTTGGCAAACTGAGTTCTATGTTCTTTGAAAATTATGGAAAGCATCTTGTGGCAAAAGTTATGTCTAAACTTTAACATGTCCGTTTTAAAAAAATTGTATATATATATTTTTTGAGTAAATATCCAAATTGGTCCCTGACAAAAAAACTTAGTACCCAAATTAGTTCTTAACAAAAATAAACTGGCTGGAAAGTCCTCAACAAAGTCGAACAGATCCCACGTTATTCTTTCTGGTTTTCCAAAACTGACGGTGTTGAAGTGTAACGTTAATGGACATTTACGGTGGCACAGCCTCCGACCAGAACAAAGCCATTGACCGTCGAGAGCTTCTCCGGCAACTGGCCTTGGAGACCATTGATTTCGCCAAAGATCCTTATTTCTTGCGCAACCATCTTGGCAGATCACCTTTTTCTTTTTCTCTTCTTTCTCCCTGTTCTGTTGTTAAGAACGTTTTTCTATACGTTAGATCAGTTCAAACTTCAAACTAGTGTTGTTAAGAACGTTTTCTATACGTTAGATCAGTTCAAACTTCAAACTAGTGTTGTTCAGAATGTTTTCTATATGTTAGATCAGAGTTTATACATTGTTGCCATTGGGGTGTTTATACGCATCCCGGTTATAGGGGAGTATAAAATTCATATAATAAAATAAGAGATGAAGCATTTAACAATTTAAAATAAGAATATCCAATATAAAATAAGAATATGATGTTCAGTTCAGTTTTATTATTCTGCAAAGTCATTCGGCTTTGCTCAAAAAGAAAAATTTATTCCGGATTTCTAATTGAACCAACATATTAACAAACCGATTCTAGAACGGGATGTTACGCCAGCAGTGACTATTAAGAAAGAAGCCTCTACAACTTAACAGTTAGTCCCATCTTTTTTATTCGTTGGTGGGTCAACACCATAACATTTCCTCCCTGTCTCCAGGCACATGTACTTGTGAACAAAACCAAACACACCCATATCAATATCATTATTAACATATGTAAATAATACTAAAATGACTACTCATATATATAAAACGAGAGTTCAATCTCAAACAGGTTCGAGACACTCAATAAATTTTATCTACTTAGATACCATATAGAATAAGAAGAGATCCAATATTAAACTCAGAAAACATAAAAATAGTCCCTAATGTCATCTCCCTAGTCTAAAAATGGAATGAGACACGCTCAAAAGCCCGAGAATAAAGCTACCAAAAGGCAAACAAAAAGGGATCCAGCTGAAATGGGGGACAATGCTGATGCTGCGTTCTTGGGAGATGCTTTCGGTAGTGGAGATATCTTGGGGGACAATGCTGATGCTGCGTTCCCCGGCGGTGCTGGAGATGCAGGAGAAGATGGTGGAGAGAGGCTTCCAGCTAGAACAAAAAATTTATAATCATATATATCAGAAACAACAATCATGTGAGAATCTAACAATATCAACATTTTCTGTACACAACATAAATTATTAATGCACAGATAGCATAAGGGGGAAAAAAAGTGATTGAAAGCAAGCATATTTATGCATCAGAAGACATAGTGGATAACAGCTTTTGATTGAGAGTAAATGTGTTTTTGTATTGAGTCTAAAATGTTGATTGAAAGCAAGCATTATTTGCATTGAGTCTAAAATGTTGTTTTTTGGGTGAAAATGTTGTAATTATAATTTATTCCAAGTTATAACAGTCTTTGTCATTACAATTTTTTAATGATATCGTGTTGATTGAGAGTAAATGTAAATAATTTATTTGCGATTCACTCTAAAAATTATATATAAGATAAAGATGTTAATTAAGTTAAAAGCTGTCAGCGAAAGGAAAGAAAATAACAAAATCGGACATGCTTCTTAACATTTTGGGACTATACCAATCGAACATATGACCCCCTTTCTAATTTGGAACGAAATCCAAACATTTGTATATTGCACCACAAAGTATTCAGATTTAAATGGCCATTAACGTGTTACATAACACTGGGCTGAGTAAACATACCAGAAGAACCAGCGGGTGTTTCGGACACTGCAAAACAACGAAATCTCATCACTAAAAAATCTAGAAAGGAATCGAATTTTTATTCAACAGAAGGTATGAAAAAAAAAAAAAACACTCAAATCTCGATTATTTAGAAAAATGAAAGAGAAGAATAAATCTGAGAAAACTAAAATGGGGATTATTAAGCATAAATAACTCACATTCACAGTTAGCGAGAGAAGGATCAGAGAGTTTGCAAGCAGCAGGAAGAGTCAAAGCCTTAGTGACATTCAAGGTCACACCAAAGCTAGAGCTAGCCTTGAAAGCCTTACAGAGGCACTCTGCAGAAGTTTCAAGCAGAGTCTTTAAGCCAGGGCAGCATGTTCCTTCTGGTTTGGTTGCCGTGCTGTCGTTGCTAACAAAGGACAAGCAATCCATCATGTTGCCCATGACCAGGCTTGTACAATCCACGGATGGTGCTGGAGCATGATTTGGTGAACCTGAAGCACCACCATGAGCCACATCAACGGCCCAGATGGCCACAACACAGAGAATGAAGAGTGACAACTTTGATGCCATGAAGATGTAAGAGAATGAAGAGAAAGATGTGGGAATAATGAGTTGGTGTGGAGATAGAGAGTTAAATAAGGGCAGTGAGATTGTTCTGTTGAGATTCTTGAGATTTTCTGTTGAGATTCTGGGCCTCAAAATTGAAAAGGGTAGCAGAAAAAAAAAAAAAAAAGAGAGAATTTTTGAGAGTGAGAAAGTGTGTAACTGTAAGAGTGAGTGTTACTTGGTTACGTGGTGCTTTATTAAAAGTTTGTTTGCCATATGGATTTAGGAATCTTCAAATACCGTTGTGTATGTGTCTTCCAATTCCTACTTTCACTGGCCGCCACATAACATGTGATAGATACATATCTCTTTTGAAGACATGTCATCATTGTGTGATGTTGCTGTAGCCTGTCAAAGTCAAATTACTCAGATTCTTCTGAAATAGAAAACCGAATACTGATTTTTTAAATAATTTTTAATTTTTAATTTTTTTTTATTTAATTTTGTAAAAAAGTTAAAAATTAGAATTATTTTTTATTTTTAGAATTAAATTTTATTTTTATTTTGTGCTTTGGCTATTAATTTGTCAAAAAATAAATAATTTTAAAAAAGAAAAAATCAAAACACAATCTTAACAAACCCACAAACAGAACACAATCTTAACAGACCCACATTGTTATTCGTATTCCGATTTACTAGTTATGTTTATTCTAAATTTTCGGCTGATTGACCAGTTTAGTATAAACTGCTTGGAGAATTAATTTAATGAAAAAAAAAGAAGCTGAGTAAGCTTGGTCAAATGGGTAATTCATCTATTCCTTTCATTGAGTTTCAAGAATTATGCTAGAAATATCCAAAAAAGAATCATACTAGAAAGATTCGACATAAAATAAAATAGGAAGATATTTATTCCATTTTTACCGCTGGCCCAATTGCTATAACTATGTGCGTTGTTATGAATGATTTCACCAAACCTACTTGAAGCTCATTAATTTGGTTGGGTAGCCATCCATGTATCATATATTATTGTTGTAATAAATGTTGATGATTGCTCGAACTTCTAGTTCACTTTAAGGAAAATGGCGGCGGACGAGGTGTTAGAATAAATCTTTGGTGCTACTGTTGCACCAAAATTCAGCGCATCTCACCAATAGAAGCATTACACATTATAAGAGAGAGAGAGAGGAAATTTGACAAAAAAAAAAAAAAAAAACTTTAGCTGACATATAATAATATTTCTATTGGTGGGATGTACTGAATCTTTGGTGCAACAGCAGTACTAAAGATTTATTCGAGTAATTTTTTGATTTATGAGAAAAGTATTTAAACTGTTTTTCCAATTTTATTTTTTTAATTTATCTAATTATTTTTAGAAATATATTAGACTCATTTTTAAGTGAAAAAACACTCTTTATTAAAAAAACAAATAAACAGGTTTAAAAAAATTATTAAATAAAATAAAGAATAATTCATACTTTAACATTTTGAAATATATTTAAATCTTTATTTTTGAGTAAATAGAATTTATTTTACAAAGCATAAACAGAATATTGGCATGTGTGTGTAAAATTCAGATATGTTATAGTGAAGAAATATACTACTTATTCAAAATTTGTAGCATACAACTTCGTTAGTGTATAGCCCACAATAATACTATGGTCAGCACTTCACATGAAGAAAAGGAGAGGTCAATTTTGTTTGACAAATTTTGACTTATATATTTGAATAATAGAGAATAGAGATGCCCATAATGAGTTTGGGTCGAGTGAATGCAAATAATTATATCAAATGGGATTCGGAATCACAAGTACAAATTGTAAAAGTTAGAGAAAAATGGCTAAATTATATTTCTTTCCTTTTATTTTTTTAAAAAATTACATTTTTCTTTTGATAAACTCGAAGAGTTTTCTTTTAATCTATTCGCATGTGTTTTATAATGCATTTCATTTTTTTCAGAAAAGAGAGTATAATTTTTTCAAATAAAAAACTGTAATTCAAATATTTATCAAAAACAAATATATAGAAAGGTAAAGTTATACCCTAAAAATGATATAAGCAAATCCACCATCCTCCTCCAAAGGAGAGCAAACAACACATTGTTATACCTTTGTGTTATTGTGCCTCCGAAAGCAAAAAGCACAAAGAAAAATATTTGGATAGAAAGGTAAAGTTACCTTGATGGAATGCTCTTGCTGCTACGTCAACCAGAATACTAAAATAAAAAAGGTACATGCATAAAGTTGTGGGTTAACAACCTTCGGGGCCGTTTGGTACATGACTTATCTTAGGATTTTCGGGAAAATAATTTTTTGTAAATTTTAAATTTTCAGATATTATTGCAAACTGAATGTAAAAATTATATTTTTAAAAATCGAGATTTTCGGACAAAAAAATTTTCTCCGATACCAAACGCCCCCCTACATTATTTTACGTCATTGCTTTGTCACCAGCAACTTATCGCAATCATCAACGGAAAATCTGAGCTCATTTTTAAGCTCCTCCTTGTGTTTTTCAAAGTTAAATTTCGATTTTTTAATTTTTTTTTTTTTGTTATAACGTTGACTAAATTAGTAAATAGTGTTTATGAATATTGAAGACTATATGCTATCAGATTGAATTGAAGTGTTTAGTTGTTACGTGACAGGAAGGTTTTCTCAGATTCAAGTGTTTATTTTTGTATGCATGAGTAGAACTTACGCACCCCTTGTATTAATAAGGCCGTAGACATAGTTCCATGTAGCTTTTGATGTCCCGTTTTAGCCTTTTTCTTGTTATACTCAAATAGAATCACTTTCACATTCGTGCACAATCATGCATGCCTGCAAGAAATGTGTATTGCCAATTTTCTCTCTTTTCTTTTTACCACTAAGAAGGATATCTTACGGAATATATAGGAATCCGAAAAAAAAAAAAAAAATTAATGTCATGCATTAATGGGTCGCAATAGCACCCAAATAGGTGGAAAGTTGATAAGAAAAAATTGCGACTCTTGAGTATCATGATAAATTTAAATACCTGTTTGCATTTACACGTGAAATGTAGATAGATAAAAAGACAAGAAATGAGAAAGAGCTATGTAGTTTGAACCAATGAGACAATAACAGTTACATGATCAAGCTTGCCACCAGTATATCCCACATAGCCCAAAGCCTGGGCTGCATCAGCAAAAGGACTTCTTGTGGATGTTGACCTTCCAACCTCTTGTGCTCTCATTGCCAATAATTCTGCTATTTCCTGCAAGTTACCCATACCCGTTACCATAAGCTCCCAAGTGGTTTAGACTCCTCCACAAGGTGAATTTGATATTGATCACGATTTTGAACAGAGACGTTTCTACATGGTATTTTTTTTTTTTTTTTGTAAATACTTCTACATGGTATTTTGCAATATATAGAATATATTCCCAAAGTAATGCTATAAAGGAAAAGTTAATAAGTTAGCAATAGGTTGTACTTTCTTTGATAGATGACATTTTGAAAAAATTTCTCTTCTTTGGCATGGTGTTTATCAACAAGATATTAGACTTGTTTACTTTTTTCTTTCACCCAAAATATCAAAATGATGAAATTTGATAATACATAATAAACATATCTACATTTTATATAATGCGGAGATCAAGAAAATGCTTAACTAAAATTATGAATTTCTTTGCCACTCATTCGTCCTGATGTATAACTTAACTTTTCCTATTTTAAATTTTAAATTCTTTTAAATTAATTATACATATATTTTTTATGGAATAAGATATTATGCCTATTTTTTTTCAAGTCTATTCTATCTACTCCTTTCTAACAATATTATATCAGAATCTCAAGAGGAGAGAGAAAAGATAAATGTTAGTTGAGATTATGATTTAACCGTGTTGGAGATGAGCAGGTAAAGTAGGCATAAAAAAAAGATATGCATAATATTCTATCCCATTCTTTATAATCATAAATATCTTTTCTCTTTTAATCTATATTTTTTAGATTTTATTAGAATTAATTATGCATACTTCCTTTATATTTTTAACATATTTTTCTCTTACACATTTTTTAATTTATAACTTTTAAATTTTAACAGAATCTATACAAGAGATTCTTGCCAGTTACATGTAAGCATTAGAAAGATAGACAGACCAAAAATGAAAGAAAGGCATAAAGCAATCAACCTGAGGGCTCAAGCTAGCTTGTAGGGACTTTGACACAATTGATGCTATTTCTTGTTCATAAAGATTGTCAAAAAGGCCGTTAGTAGCAGTTACAATCACTTCACCACCGTTTAGATAGATCTTGTACCCCTGAAACACATTTTACCTTGAATTGCTATCATATTCAATCAAATATACTTAAATTAATCTTGCAGGTTTAATGAATATTAATAACTTCTAAACTTTTGAACCTCATTGTTCAAATAAAGCATACCTAAAATCTCGTGGCTATAGGAGAAAGGAAACGAATAATGTTCCAAAATATTTCTCTCATCAGTTGAAAATGACAAAATGCTGCGAGGTAGATCACATACCTCAATGATTTCTGAGGGATCGTCACCTTTAACTATCTGTAATGGAAAACTGAATTCATGAAACATGGGAGCTGATTTTTTTAAGATGGAACCATCTCTTATAATGATAAATCCAGTGTTCCCAATATTGGCTGCATGGAGGGCCTGCAAACAAATTGCCTTGAGATGATTCACATCCTTGGGAAAATGTTAAGACACAATTGTCTTTGCAACCCAAGATTTAAGTAGCCAGGAAACATAATCTGTCTCTGCCTTAGATAAAGTAATGGGATACTTGCGTGTTTAACTGAATATCTTTTCATATTACCTAAGTATAATATGTACAAATTTAAATGACATGCAAAACAACGGTTGGGGCTCTCCCCTGAAAATGAAACAGTTGTTTCAAAAGCTTAAGATGCAAAGACATGGGACATAAATGTAAATCAGAACACATACTGCCTTCCCCCCCTTACCCAAACTCCAAAAATGCCCAATCGCCAAGTGATTGCAAGGAACTTTGGCCCTTACACAAGAAAAATAATAGAAATCCATATAAAGTGAAGTCGTCAAATCGAATCGAAGAACTTCGAAGAGATTTAAGACCATGTTAAAGACCCTATTGCAATTACTGGCTAATTTACAAAGTTGCACCATAAAAACTATTATGTAGATGATAACTGCAGTTCCATTAATAGCTGTTCTCCCTCATTAGTTTACTTCTTATATATGTCTAAGGTCTCATAGATACGTGCAACTTCAGAACTATTAAAGGAGCTAGACGTATCCTTTCATAAATAGCATCATTTTACTCCAAAGACGAGACCCTAGTACTCCAAAAAATTTAATCAGGAATAAATTGTTTGCTTCTCATGAACCATTCCTCATACATATAAGTGCTCCAGCTGTAATGACATCATGCTTCTCAACAAATTCTAATATGCTATGAACTGGGAGTCTGGGAGAACATTCTGGTTCCCCAAATGCCTCATAACTTGGAAATAGTTATGAAGATGAACTAATATCCCAATCAAAGATATACAGAACAGTATTTTCATACTCCTACATAGGCATACTGCATATCATGTAAAGTGAATTCAAATAACGGTAGCAGTATTAAAAATAATGTGAATATAATACTCTGAGGTAGTTGAAATTGCAGAATCAATTGAATGAATAACTCAGACTTCACTCAATCTTGCATTGCCATCGTTCATTAGAGCTACCCACTTATTCTGTTCTATAATTTAAACAACTTAGCAAAAACAGTTAATCATTTACCTGACCATCAAAATGTGCAACCAAAACAGCAGATGATCCTGGAGATTGTGTTTCAGCAGCACTTCTGGCGAGAACTTCGGCAGGTTTTATTGTTAAAATGTTTCCATAATTTGACACAATATTTTCACACTTTTCCATGAGTTCCCTGATATACACTCCAGTATTACTCCCTGCATAATTTTTCGGGTGTATAAGTATAGATTAAAACTGAGAAAGACTAATGATCGGAGCTTTGACAGTGGCAACTGGCAAGGCATGGGAAGCATGTGATGGGTATTACACTTTGCTCAGTCCAACAAATGAAAAAAGTAAATGCAGGTTCACAAATTAAACAGAGAATAAACATAATTTCAAGAATTGGCGGCATCCAAGGGGGGGAAATGAGCATGTTGGAGACTTGGACTTTGTAATAAGCTAACATCCAAAACAGAGATTCAGCACCAGACTGCACTTCTTTCAGCAGACACATAGAAGAAGAGGGGGGGGGGGGGGGGGGGGGCATATTAGATGCTTCACTGAATTCCAAATACTGTAGAAAGAATACCTTCAAGTGACCACTGACCAACTCCATCCACCACAGCTAGCCAGTTTTGGCGAGAAATAAAATAAGCATCCTCTCGACCTGTCAATGCCTGGAAATTGTTATCAGTTGGCTTATTTACCATCTGTCATTCAGTACTCAAGTCAAACATCACTTAAAATGTCATGTACATGTTCCTACTTATATTCATTCAATAAACCTGTTGTTTAAGCTATAAAGATTTTGGTAGGAAGGAAAAGAAGAGAGAATGAAGACTGAATGATCTAAAGTTGACATTGATTTGATACGAAGGATGCCTTCAAATGTGATACAAAAGACAAAGCACTAAGCTCCATTTATACTAATAGAAGACTCCTAATCCTAAGTAAATAAGGAAACAAATCATGAAATATATGGATATTTGGAAATCAATCATAAGAGATAATCTAAGATACTCTAAATTACTCTAAGATACAATCACGATATTTCATATGTTTTAACACCTGTCAAATTCCTACACTACAAGTACTTGCACATTGTTGGTTACATTGCTTCCAGACCTGGTTAAATTATGCATTTGAGAGCTGTAACTCCTAACAACACAGATTCTATATCCCACTGACAAAAAAAATTAAAGTTCGTCATTCCCTTCAAGTGTCATGACCTTCCAACAGAATTTTTTTCTTCTATCAACTGGATACACACATGAATATATATATATATATATATATATATATATATATATATATATATATATATATTCTTTTTTTCTTTTTTTTTTGTAACAGTACCCCTAGAATTTTTTGGTATAACTTTTGTCACTTAAGAAACATCAAACATATCGACGATACCAAAACAGAAACAAGAACAGTCACAATAATGATTAATTATTAACAGAAGAGCAAACCTGTATCATGTGCTTGCAAAATTTAGAAAATATAACTTAAATCATTCATTTCTTTTCCAAAATTTGATTTAACTAGAACACTAAAATCCCGACTGAGTCATTTGTAAGCTTAGCATGCTGCATTCTTATCCCTATTGACAAGGCAGAACGAGTCAAGATATTAATGACTGAAAGGTACCTTAGAGGGATGAGGCAAGTAAGCCGCACCAGAAACTAGGAAAAGCTCCATTCTTGAAGTTTTTTCTCTGTGTACATGCAACGAAGAACCATGAAAAAGGTGTCATTTTGAAATTCCAAGAAGTTTGTCAAGTATCAAATCTAGATACGTGCATCTATAATGGTTTGGTTTCTGCTTTTTGCTTTCAGTACAATAAGATAGCCATTGGGAATTATTGTGTTTCATTCCTCATTAATAGCAATATATTACTTGCACCATATACAACTTCTATAACACTCTCCAGGCTTTGAAAATCATCATTGCTGTATCCAAATTCCGTAACGAGAATGTGCTCAGAAACATTCCTTTTTTGAGGGAAAAGGAGAAAGTTTTCACTAGTGGGAATACATTTCACTAATCATATACCGAAGACCACAAGAAAGAGTGAACATAATTTACAATACAGAAAAGAGAAAAGATAGTTGGCATACCCCTGAATAGCCGTCTCAACTGAATGTATCTCTGGTTCAGCAGGATGTGAGGGGTTTTCATAATCACTTATTTCACTATTGCCCACATCTATTTTGTTTTCCAAATCGGAGGATGGAACCAAGTCATGTAACTAAACAAACAAAGAAACACAGAAATCACATTAGAAACAGTAGCATATATCCAGTAAAATAAAATTCCTGAAGGGGATGATTTAAGCACTTAAAAGTCATTAAAGCTGGATAGCTAAATGCACTCAAAGAAAACCATATGCATGGAAAAGTAAATTTTAGCCATTTTAAGGAAAGGGAATAAGACTAACCATTGCTGACTTTCCCGTTTTACTCTCATCAATTGAGTTATCCACAATGTGGTGAGTTGTTTGTTCATCATTAGCAACTAGTTCAGACTCTAGAGAAGTGGATACTGGCATCAATTCACTTGAGTTAGCATCAACACCATCAGGCAGGTCGTTTGTTGCTCCATAAACAACTTGTTCAGACTCTAAAGAAGTGGATACTGGCACCAATTCGCTTGAGTCAGCATAAACACCACCAGTCAGGTTGTCTGTTGCTCTATCTACACTATGACCCTTGTCAGCTGTAGAGAGATGAGCAACTTCAATGTTAGCCTTCTACCTGACAAACAGAACAATGACTATTAAAAACTTCAATGGATAACGATGATTAAGAAGACACCAAATAAGCCACAATATCACCTTTCTCTTCAACTTCCCCAGAAGCACAACTAATCGGATCAGTAAATACATCTGATTCTAGAGTAACCGTTGAAACGACAACTTCTTTGTGACTATCAACTTCAGAATCTTCCTGAGACACACTCGGGACACCATTACACTCAGCAGCAACTTCTTCACTTAAAATTTCATGTTGACCGTCACCATCATCTACTGAATCCAACATCAAATGTCTATCAATGTTTAGTGAATCATTGATCACAGGTGTCTCAGAATCATTATCAAGAACAACACTTTCCTTATCATTAACGAGAAGCTGGGGATTTTGATCAGCAACACCAACTACTACAATAGAAGAAGATTCAATTTCCTCCCCGGAATAATGATCAACCTCAATATTCAATTTTTCAACACCTTTACTCTTTAAAGTTCTAGCACCAGCTTTACCTCCTTCCTCAACACCCTCACAAGAAGATTCAATATCCTCCCCGGAATTATGATCAACCTCAATATTCAATTTTTCAACACCTTCACTCTTCAAAGTTCTAACACCAGCTTTACCTCCTTCCTCAACACCCTCACGGTTATCTCTAATCTCACTAGCATTGCCAAACCGGAACACAAAACTACCATCGGAACACTCTGCCAAAAGAACCAGAAGCTCAAGTATAATGGACAATTCAGAAAAAACAGCGAAAAAAAAAAAACTTAACCCAAAATAGAAATACCCCACTAACCAAAATTGAAAATTAACATAAACCCAAGAAGTAAAAAGGAAAAAAGTTGGAGTCTTGAGAGTTAAGGTAGAATACCAGTTGAAGAGAGAAGATCAACATCTTCAGGATCAAAGTTTGGGTAAGAGCTTGAGGGTGAATTGGAATTGGCAAGCACACGAGCATGGTGGGTGAAGCTCATCCATCGTTTGGGAAGTAGAGTTGGAGCAGAAATTCGAAGCCTTTCCGAAGGTTTTGGCGGAAGGTTGCGGCATGGAACTGAGAGACAATGGAAGCTTCTGGAAAAGAGTTCAGCCATTTCATCAAGCTCTGTTTTTTATTAATTGTTTTTCGATTTTGTTCTAATGCATGATTACGGTTTTATGAGTTGGAACTGTGAAACTGTGGATGAAGAGTGAAGACGATGATGAGAACATGTGGATAACCAGAAAACTTCTAGTGCTGAGTCACCACAGTCCACAAACATAGGCACTTAAAACATATATCAGAGAAAAAATAATCCATAAAAATTAAAGTGGGTTCCCTCAACACTAAATTTTTCCGTAGATAACTGACAAAAACAGTTGAATTCTTGAATGTTCTCCACTCTATATGAATCGATACAATTGTGGTACAAAAAATCCAATAAATTTTGTCCAGAACAACAAAGATAAATTATCACATGAATCTGATTTTATCTAATTTAATTTTTTTGTTTGGGCTAACTATTACATTCTCTCTTTTTTCTTTTTTCATATTTCACATTATGTAATTCTGGAAGGATATGAATTGTTATAGCTTTTACTTTGTAATGCAAGTTTGAATTAATTTTTCTTCCATTTAGTATCTAGGTTTTTTTGATAGAAAAAGATGTCTTGGTTTGTTTTCTCAATAATAAATTTATCATCTGTTTTTTTTTTTTTAACTGGGCATCTTCCTGTTATTTGAGATGTTATTTGCAAGGTTAATTATTTTTATTTTCGTAAACAAGTGTAATTAATGTATAAAATGAAAAGTTGCTTTGCTTCAGTCAAAATAAAGAATGAGAGTTTTTGGGAAGGAACAACATCAGACAAAGTGAACAGAGAGGGACGGCTAATTTTATTTTTTATATCTATTTAAGTGGAAAAAAAACAAAAAACATTAATTAGTTAAATAATTACCAGAAAATTAAAGGCGGTTCATATTGCAAAAGAGAAGGCATAGACAAAATATTAAATGGGAAAAAAATTGTCAATGACGCTGTAATTTACTTCAAAATTACCTATGTCTTCGATTCTTGCTGAATGCATTCTTGGGGAAGGGACTGAACCTTTAGCCATCACTGTTCCCCCGCACTCCAGATTAGTCCCATAGCCGGCTCAAAGAGTCGAAGCTCGTGGGAATACCGGAGGGAGCCAACTCGTCTCAAAGAGATAATTAGAGTTGGATAACTCCAAAAAAATAAAAAAAGAAGGCATAGACAAAATATTATATGGGAAAAAATTTATCAATGACGCTGTAATTTACTTCAAAATTACCTATGTCTTTGTAGTTTTTTACATTTTACAAATTACAGGGACATATGTGATAAAAAAAATTATAAAAATATAAGTGATTCTAAAACAAACCACAAAGATATTAGTGAACTTTTTCCTATTAAATATTAACTGCTTTTATAATTTTTAAAAAGTATTCATATAAGAATATTGATAATTCAATTTAAATTATTTATAATATTACTTTGCTTTTAAAAAAAGTATGTAAACTGAATTTGTTTTTAAATTGAATAATTAAAAATATATCTAGCCTTAAACTTTAATTTCTTTCTAAATTAAGTAAATAAAATCACATCAACCATTAAATATATCATATAATAACTTTCAATCAACGCATCCTTCCTTCCTAACATCTCTCTGCCCTTAATTGGATTTTTTACATCTTTTTTTGTCCTTAAAATTTACGCACTTCTTAGCTTTTTGTTAATTATCATCCCATGTCTCCAAAGCATTTGAAAGAGTAAATATACCATATTTTTGTGAGGTGAAGAAGCACATTTTTTCTCATCCATATCTTTGCTTCATTAAACTGGTTTTGTTGGTATCTACTGATCTTCCAAAACAAGGACAAAAGCTAAAGATAAAAAAAGACCGAAGTGGAACGGAATAGGTGGTGAGGTGGGTGGTCCAGTTTCCACGTGGTTGGTGCAACATGGGATGAGGATGGAGATCCAGTTCCTATTGGTCCGAAATCTATCCACGATAGCTGAAAGATTTCAACAACAGATTTCATTGTCCTACTTGGCCTTCTATGAGAACCCCTTATAGATTTTCTCCCACTTCACATCCACTCACAGATAAAACCACTCCCAAGTGTGCATTTGCAAATAAAACTTCAAAAGCAGCATCTTTGTCTCACTATCTCCCCAGAGAGTGTATTATAGAGGGAAAAGAGAGATGGCAGCTGCAACATCTGGTGCTGTGTTAAATGGGTTGGGATCTTCTTTCTTGTGTGGAGGAAAGAGGAGCCAAACCCTTCTGGCTAGTGGTACTGGTGGCAAAGTTGGTCCTACTGTTAGTCCTAAAAGACTTGTTGTGGCTGCAGCTGTTGCAGCAAAGAAATCATGGATCCCTGCTGTTAAAGGTGGTGGGAACTTCATCGACCCAGAATGGCTCGATGGATCGTGAGTCCACCCATCTACTCAGTTTCTCTCCATTTTTGTTTCATTTTCTTTCTTGGTTTCTTTTCAGAATTTGACTTATTCTCTCTCTGTTGAATGCTTTTCACTTGCAGGCTACCAGGTGACTATGGTTTTGATCCACTAGGCCTAGGCAAGGACCCTGCATTCCTCAAATGGTACAGAGAAGCTGAGCTCATTCATGGGCGGTGGGCAATGGCTGCAGTTGTAGGGATCTTTGTAGGCCAAGCTTGGAGTGGAGTTCCATGGTTTGAGGCTGGAGCTGACCCTAATGCAATTGCTCCTTTCTCATTTGGTTCTCTTCTAGGCACCCAGTTGCTTCTCATGGGGTGGGTAGAGAGCAAGAGATGGGTGGACTTCTTCAACCCAGATTCACAGTCAGTTGAATGGGCCACTCCATGGTCAAGAACCGCAGAGAACTTTGCCAATGCCACTGGCGATCAAGGCTACCCAGGGGGCAAATTTTTTGACCCTTTGGGCTTGGCTGGCACTCTTAAGGATGGTGTTTACATTCCAGATAGAGAAAAGCTAGAAAGATTGAAATTGGCTGAGATTAAGCATGCCAGGATTGCTATGTTGGCTATGCTGATTTTCTACTTTGAGGCTGGACAAGGGAAGACCCCCCTTGGCGCTCTTGGCTTGTAAACTAAACAATTCATGTAGATAATCGAATTGAGAGGCTAGACAGTTGTTGCAAATGCATCTTTGTCCTGTGTGTGTGTGTGTTACCCCGTGACAAATTCAAATTCCATGCTCTAATATTGAATGCATTCACCTTATGTCTGTACTGTAATGTAGCCATCGCATAAGTACTTGCATTTACCTTTCTTTCCAAGACCAGGTTTAGTAAAAGATATATGGGAGACTTGAAGAATGTACGTTTGCCCAGGTCGGTGAAGCAGTTGGCATACGAAGCATTATCTATCTTTTTCATACGCAATAGGGTAAAAAAAATGTAGAGTTAGCTTGGATTCCTACACTCTGAAAACAAATCTGAATGAGAGCATATAAGGTCAAATGCTTATATGTTCATAGATAAAAGATAATATCGCTCTAAACAACGAAAGCAAAGCCATAAAGAACAAAATATTCAGATAGATTTCATTGAAAATGTAAATTAAACGTTCACAAAGTTCTGCATTCAAAATGCAGAAGCATTTAATCAAAAGATGCAGCAAAATCAACTGTATTTCGGTTGGAAGGAATATGTCTACTTATTCGGTTCCTGTAACCATCAAAAACTCACCCTCACACACAACCTCACCTCCAACATATGCCTTACCTTCCATCTTTGCTATTCCAAATCGCTTTTGCAGCTTAATAAGTGTCATTCTCATAACTAAGGTGTCTCCTGCAATCACAGGCTTACGAAATCGCACTTTGTCTATTCCAGCAAAGAAGAAGTTGTCACGAGAACCTCCCACTTCAGGTTGCAACATGACCAAACCACCAACTTGTGCCATTGCCTGCAGCCAAAGACCTCACATTCATGTCGGCTTTTAAAGTACATTCCAACAGAAATCATATAAGATTCCACTTTTATTTTCTTTACTTTCTCACTAGCCAGGTATGAGATAGTTCCTGGTCAAACGAAAGTTTTGAAAGTTTTTTTTTTTTTTTTTTTTGTACAAAAAGCAGTTTTCAAACTTATCTGCTAATTTAGAATCTCAACTCAAAAGGTCTTTCAGAAGTTGGAACCTAAACAGTATAGTGCACTGAAAGTATGAGCTTTACCATCTAACAAAGAATCGAAGGTTACTGTATGAAGGTCCAATCAAGATGAAGGTAAAATATTAGTGTCAGAGACCAGATAATGTGCTCCTGCTGATGTTCTTATCACATTTAAAATCGTAAAAGCTAACCATAATCTAAGCAAGACACCAAGGGATAATTTATGAACTGAGTATAATGCACTCAACCCAGCACGATGCATGCATCCTACAGTTATTTCATGCCTATGAAACACAGAAGCCATAAATGGGACACAAAGGAAAGTTGACACACACAGAAAGAAAGTCACCAACATACATATCATATTCAAAATCTAGTGAGCATATATGAACATGAAGTTAGTCACAATTTACTTATCAATCTTCATCACAAAATTTTACACTAGAGGGGCTAGGTTCAAGACCAAGAGCTAAACACAAAAAAAGGCAGAGGTAGGCCGAAGCTTACTTGGGGAAAGGTAGTAAAACATGATTTAATGGAGTGGGATATAGATTGGCGGACAGTAAGTCTTAGAACGGAATGGAGAAAAGCTATAAGTATGGTGGAGGGTTGATGCTATCCGGCAAGTATACCATTTCGCATAAGTAGTAAAGTAGTAAGAAAGATCGTCTCCTCAGGGATTGAAAACCAAGTACTAAAATAATCAGTCACTTTAAGTTGAAAAACTTAATCTCTTGTTGGGAAAATCAAATTGAATCTTAGTAACCATAAAAGTAAAGACTTATTTTTTTGAGTTTTTGTATTTTTAAGAATGAAAAGAAGAATAATAATGGAGTTGGTTTTTAAAATATGAGAAAGAATTGCAGTTAGGGAACACTCTCCCTATGATCCCCACGTATTACTTTGGATTGATACAAAATACTTATTTATATAATTTCTCAGATAATTATGATCTCAATATATTAATAATTAAATCCCAATCCCTTGGTAACTTAACCATTTAACCTCACTTAGAATCCTAATCCCTTAGTAACCCCTCATGAGAATTAAGCAATGAACACAGTAATTCCAACATCTGCAATTAAATATACATCTATCCCTAGTATGCATACCAATAGTTGTCTTATCTCCTTTCGAGATCAGAAACCCCAATATCCCTATTTAAGGTTCTAACCCTTAAACTATTTTCAACTATCAAATTGATCAGGTTTAATAAAGAAAATATCAAATACGCACAAGATAAGATAAAGAAATTTATATAAGCGAGTAAAATAATTTAAATCAATCCGTCATAACAAGGGTTCACATAGGGTTGTGACCCTAACTACAATAAAAGAACTTAGCTAGACATAATCATATCTGACATAAACAAATATTCAAAAGAAAGCATAAAAAAAACTATAATTACTGAAAAGAATGGAAAAGAATTCTTGATCTTCAGTCCTCTACTGCTTGCTCCGAGTTGTGAATTCGTTCCTTTGTTGTGCTCCCAATCTCCTTATTTATAACCACCGGCATTGAGCCCATCCAAGAGTTTGTATTTGATTTAAACATTGTTTCCTTTTTTTCATGTAACAACCTTGGAGATTTGATTGATAAATTAGAATTTCAAATCTTGATTCAATCTTACCACAAATCATCTAATCTTATCTCTAATTTGGATAGAGATCTCATTGCTGAATCAAAAACTTGATTTTTAAATCTTTTTCTTTTCCAAAATTGCCCCGTTGCAAAACACGGGGTCTGAGAATTCGCAAACTGACGCTCTCAGCGTCAAATTCACGCTTCAAGCGTGAACGCTTCTGTCTGAAAAATTTCTTCCACGCTGCCAGCGTGAGATCCACGCTTTGAGCGTGGATTTTGATTTTGCAAAATCCTCGTTTTGCTCCAGTTTGTTTGCTTTTTCCTACAAAATTAGCATAAAATCAGTATTCAATCCTTGATTAAGATTTTGACAAATTAACAGTGATTCTTGTTCTTTTTCTCAAGATTTCATCAACATTCTTTCTCTTTTTGGCTCAGATTTCCTTATATGCTAGGCGCATATCAAGGGTTAGACCCGCTGTTATTCCTATGTTCCGGATGGTTCCTTTTTAGTCCTTTTCCCCTTCATTTCCCCCACTTCTTCTTGTCCCTTTCTTTTTTACTTTTATTTATTTATATATACATATATTTTTATTTTATTTTATTTTATTTTATTTTATCTTATTTTATTTTTATTTTATCTTTTTTTATTTTTTTTATTTTTATTTTTATTTTTTATTTTTTTTCAACCGTTTTGTATCTCTCATGTGGGTTCATCTACCACCGACCCCAATTAATTTGGGATAAAGGTGTTGTTGATGTTGATGTTGATGTTGATGTATAGATACCAATCGGTATCCAAAGTCTTAATGGACCTGACTAATCCAGTTTCGGGTTTGTGTTTCTCCACCCTCCCCAAGAATTGCAACTCTTAGGAATCGAAGACCCTTCATTTTAAAATTAATTAGTAATTACTTCCTCATTCAAGGATGGATGTATGGTCACACAAGGATGGATAAAATAAGAAATGAAAATATTTGACAAAAAATTAGAGTAGTATGGTGGAAGAAAAGATGAGAGAAGATACATTGAGATAGTTTGGGTATATTCTTCGAAAACCCTTAGATGCTCCGGTAAGAAAAGAAGTTTGTCACAGATATCATAACATAAAAAAAAATGAAGAAGACAACTGAAACTTAATTGGAGGAAAGTAGTAAAACATGACTTCGCGAAGTGAAAAATAGATTGCATGTGGTTTGTCTTAGAACGGAGTGGAGGAAAGTTATTGTATTAGTATCATGGAAGGGTGGAATTTTTCTATGTTTTTATTTAAAAATCAATTTATTACACACACACACACACACACACACACATTTATATTATTTTACTTATTTCTTATTTATTTTTCCTTAATATGTTCTTGCTTTTATATGGCTATATCGACATGAGATGGCAACTAATTTGGGATAAAGGTGATATTGATGTTGAAGTAACGTTTTCGTCATTTGATGAAATACAGACCTCGAAAGTATGGGAACTCAAGTAGATGCAATGACCTAGAATCTTAATTATTTCAAATACACACGCACACACACACAAACACACACACACAGAGAGAAACTGGTCCTATCCGTCACTTTATCAAGATCCTGAAAATTTCTCTCTCTCTCTCTCTCTCTCTCTCTCTCTCTCTCTCTTCGTTAGAATGTCAATATTAGATTTTAGAACTAAAGACGAGTGTCGAAGACAAGTCATGAACATTTGAATGATATACATGTGTCACTGTCTAACATAAGAAATGCCATAGAGGAAGTAAGATGTGTTTCACTTAACAGGTAGATGCAAAGACACATGTCTAAGCTGTGCATACATGACCTCAATCAGGTAGATATGAGCTTTGGATAAGTCTGAGAATCTAGCATGAGGATCATGTTCCTTGACAAATGAAAGGCCAAAAAAAGCTACAAGCCTACTATTGTAGTGCTGCTACTAAAAATAGTTTCTTGAAAACAAAAATGTACAAGCCTACTATTGTAGTGCTGCTACTAAAAATAGTTTCTTGAAAACAAAAATGCTTCAATCACACATTTAAAAGCTACAAAAAACAGGCCAGGAACATGTCCTATTCCTATAGGAAGGCCCACTATTTTTTATATACAATTAATATACATACATCCATACATAAATATAAATATATATATATATATATGGATTCGAATCCAGGAAACAGCCCCATTGCAATTATGCAAGAGTAAGGCTGCGTACAAGGATTGTCTCCACCCCACACTCGCTAGTCAGGTTTAATGTGGAGTACATATATATATATATATATATATATATATATATATATATATATATATATATATATATATATATATATATATATATATATATATATGGCACCACTGTATTTGCCAGCCCTTGCTACATTCAGGACTCGGGGAGCAAGCCAATGATGTAAAACAAAGTCAGATTTTTTTCAATTACAAACCCCAATCAGAACTCTTGGTTCATAAGAAACTACGAGCTGAATTGATTTGCTGATAGCCATAGTAGGGTAACTTGAAGAACTACTTCAAGTGGGAGAAGGTCAAGCTAGAATTCCAAGATCTTTCAAAAATTTCTATCCATGTTACTAAAAACATTTTTCCTCTAATTCAAGCCTTATCCTTATTTTATCCTATGATGCAACACATGCACAATAGACTAGTTCATTCTTTTAGTGCATTTTCAATTTAGATCGAATTATGTAATAAAGGGAATAAATAACTATAGGCAAAATTTCACATTTACCATATACACAGTACTATAGGCAAAAGTACACTAACAAGGAGACATATACGGATAAGGGTGAGATTATAATAATCACATTGATTCATTTTGTAGAAGGAAACAGTCAAATTCTCTGCTTTATAGAGCAAGTAAGAATATAGTAAATGTTAAAATTTAAAAACAATCTACAGTAACTTCTTTAAATTTATCCTAAATTTTTATTGCTCATGTTTAGGCAAACTGATAGGTTTTCTCATTTGTTGCTACCGTTGGACCTCTTCAATTGACGGTGCACTTTTTATTGAAGCAAATAGTCAATGCAAGCAACTACACCGGCATGCATCAATTTAATAAAGGTTTTCTGTGACTGTTGCCTGATATGTCTATACCTAAAATCTATTAAAATTTATATAAATGAAGTTCCACTCCAGCAGCAAATAAAACATGCTTCACAAACACAAAGAGTGTAGGATAAGTGCAAGCACGATACTCTAGAACAGGTTCTTAGAGTTTCGACTTTCAAATGAGCTAATTTTGTGAGGATATATCCAAGTAAAGCAATACAGATGTTTATACAGTCCATTTTATGTAACGAAAGAAACAGCTTACCATAGTGCATAAACATAACATAGGAATTATAGACGAGTATCAGTATCATCATATGTCAAAAGACAAGACAACCCCAATAAAACATGGAATAGTGTTTACCTCAACCATTAGAACACCAGGCATGATTGGCCTTTCTGGAAAATGTCCTGGAAAAAAGTTGTCATTTATTGTTACGTTCTTTATGGCGACTGCAGAAACTCCGGGATTGTATTCAATCACTCTATCTACCAGAAGAAAAGGAAACCTGAACCACACAACCACCCAAAAAACGAAAATCAATTATTCAAAAAACAATTCAGAAAATCACAAAAAACATGTTCCACAAATGTTGAGTTTACCTGTGGGGTAAAATCTCACGAATATGATTGATGTCCATGACGGTTGGGAATGCGGGATACCCTGCAACAGCAAAACCCACCCAGAAAACATGCATGCTTGTCAAAACCGGAAGAAAAAAAAGGAATTGAAACGGAAGAAGAACCTGAAATCAAAAGAGAGGGTAAAAAAAAAAACTTACTTAATTCGATGGGGGTATCTTGTTTAGGGTCATTAGCAGCATCCGAGGAACAAAACGTGGTGGTTTTCCTCAATTGGGTAGACAAGAGATGCGATCTGGAGTTGGGGAATTTGAGAAATGAGAATTTGGGTTGATAGGAAATGGATTTGGAAGGATGAGAAATGGGAGAAAGCAATGTGTTGTTGGTTAAAACAGAGGATCCCATTGGTGAAGTGAAGTTTGAAGATTGAAGTGTGATTCAGTGTGAAATCCTAAGTGTGAGTTGAGGGTATATGATGAGTGTGAGTGTGAGCATGCATGTTATTGTTAAAGGCGACACAAACAAAGTGCAAATGCTACCTTTGAGTTTGAGTTGGGGCGGAGCCTCCCACGTTGTTAAAACGTTAGTTGAACCATCGAAACTGAACTAAACTCTGCCACTGCAATGGAACCCAGTCCACCAAGTTACTACCCGAACCCGTCTCTTGTGGATCCCTTCTCGGCCCAATTCAAACTTAACTCCTTTCTTGCTTTTATTTAAATTTATCGACCGCAAATTCTAATTAATTTGAAAAAAAAAATGTGATATTAATAGTAATGTTGATAAAAATTTACAAGCTTATACTTCAAATATGGATGAGAATAATATGGTCTATCTCAATCTTTTATCCAATGTTATTAAAACCGGCCCGTTCATTGGTCCGGTTGAGGTATTGGGTCCTGGATCACTGGTTTAATTAGTGGGTCACTGGTTCAACCGCATGAACCGGTAATTACATGCAATTTTTATAATTTATATTAAAAAATTATAAACATACTCAGATATCTAAAAAAAATGATAAAACTTTCAAATATTTAATATAAAAAATAATAAATCACATATTATTATCCAATAAAAGATTAAATAAAAATATAATGATCGTGATACGGGGCTTTAGGTTCAGAAAACTATATCTTTAACAATAAATCAAATTAAAATTTTCTGCATAGTACATAATTGAGATAATATTAGTATTGTAGGTTCATAACTTATATAAGTCAATAAACAGAAAAAATATTCAAATATGTCTATTACGATTTTAAAAAAAAAATTATTGGATTTTTTTTTTAGGACCGGGCCGGGTCACCGGTTAACCGACCGGGTCACCAGTTTTCATGAAAACTGGCCAGGTCGGACCGGATCGCACCGGTTCTGATACATGACCGGTCCGTTGCTTCAACCGAACTAGTTATAAAACCGATTTACCGGTTCCCGAATCGACCCGGTCGGATCGGTGTCGGGTTTCTTAACAGTGCTTTTATCCGTTGATAGACTTTTCATGACCTACATTCAAGAAATCTATATTATAAAAATGATATAGTGGGAGTGGGAATGAATTTGATATTTTTGGAAGGTGGGCTCACGCGGCTTTGTTCTTGTGATGGCCATATGGTCTATTGTATGAAGTGAAAACACAAATGTTTCCGCGTGAGGGTTTAGGAAGGAGCGCAAAAATGTTTATCTTATTCTAGTGGCCTACACCCTAACAGGCTAACACCATTACCCCGACAAAAATGCATGTGATGAATTTTTCAAAAATAAAATAACATTATAGTGAAATAATGTAATTTTGAATTTTATTACCAAACTAATGCAATGACTCCTGTATAAGGTGGGTGCCGGAGCGGTGCTGCATGAGAAAGGTCAAGACTTGTTGAATTGGATCATTTGGTTGAATGCTATACGTTACAGGTTTGTACAGATATTGGTCAAGCCACGTTTGAACCGTGGCAAATTATCGTCACCAAATTGTGTCTTAGACTTATCAACGTCAGACAGTGCCCCCGTCCAACAAATTCCGCACCTTCATTATATGGGACCAGTGGCACACTCACCTCATGCGGGATTCATTATATTATTTCAATATTTAAAAAAATAAAATAAAAAAAATCATTACATTGGTGGTTTTGCCCACACCACATATTCTAAGAGTGGAATCTTTATGAGGAATATAGGGCGGCATTATTGAACTCGAATTGGGTTGGCTGGTCTCGTTACTATCCGGATGCAATCACCAACACTGTGAAAAAATTTCTACCAAATAATGATAGCTCAGTTGATATAAATGAGCTAAGTAAGTGGAGATAAGAGCATATATCCTCCTCAGTATAGTTTTTAAGAGAGATTTAAAATCTTAATTCTAAAACCTGCTTCAAATCTTATTAATCACAAAATGATAAGTTGATTGGAATATTAAAAAAAAAATTTCTCCACGTTAATTTCTTTATAATTTTTTTGGGCTGCGTATATCCACGCGCGTTGTGTCATGTTTCATACATTGAGCAATATTCAACTTATGTTACCGCCCTGTTTTTTTTTTCTTGGTTAAAACATAATTCTAATATTTTATATAATTTCGATTTTTATTGAATTATATATGTTAAAAATTTAACTTTACTTTAAAACAATTGTTTTCTATATCATTTCGTCTGTAAGTTTTGTAATAATATTGTAAAATCGATATGAAGTCATCATAACATATGAGAGTCAAATTACAAATAATTATCACATGGGCAAAAATATAATTTTTAAGTTCTTATGCATAACATTTATTTTCATAGATGGTATTATTATAGTATAGTAGGAAAATGTAACTTTTAACTTGAAATATCATTAAAAATGAGTTGTTAAAATAAATTATAGAAAAAGCAGAAAATGATTACGACTTGACAATTATATAATGACTTTAATAAAAGGAATATCCTGTCTACTGGTTGAAGCAATGATTTGATTTGATTTGAGACTCTAACCATATTAAGGAAGAGTTACCATTTTGTTACACTTGGTAAAAAAATTTACCAGACTATCACGTTAACAGTGAATTTTGTCAAAATATCACGCTGCATCCTTAGTCGTCGTTGAAGAAGTCTGAAAATATAACTAATTCGCATTATCTTATCTTAACTCTTAATTATTTTCAGACTTCTTCAATGACGGCTAAGGGTGCAACGTGGTATTTTGACAAAATTTACTGTTGACGTGACAATCTGATAAATTTGTTTGCGAAGTGTGACAAAATGATCACTCTTTTCCATATTAAACCAAACCAAACCTTTTCGACCATTAGTTAATCAAAACGAAGCTGAATTAGGCATTTGACAAGATATGTTGTGATTTGTGAGTCAGTGATTTGTTCTTATATACAAAGTTAGATGAACGTAATAATATTAGTGGGGTTTCATAATGACATATATGGGACAACTAATACCAAAGTCAAGTCGAAAATAAGAAGACGTATTTAATCGGAAAACCAATCGCTTTGCAGCATGCATGATTGGCTTTCTGCTCGCGTTACTTGTTTGACGATTTGTTTCGAAAGGGTTTTCTTATTAATATTTTGATTTTATTTAATGAAATCAAACTCATCATACTTTAGATTGCGTCTAATATGAAAATGTCTAACCCTTAAATTAGTTTAAATTAAGAGAAATATTACTCTCATGTTGCATGAGAGTAGTTCTCTCATGCTACAGAGAAAATTAAAGTGGAACCCACTATTAAAAAGTAAAAAAAAAAAAAATGTGCAATTTTTGAAGTGATACAAAATGAGATAAATATCTCAGCATTTCCCCACCATGCATATTACAGCTTTCATGTTTATCCGAGACAAATTCAACGTCAGAAGTTCCTCAGCTGTCACTTGTCAACTTTTCAAGCCACCACATTTAAGGAGTGTTTGCTAACATATTTATTTTGGGATTGATGGGAACTATTAGCGGATATCAAGTATTATCATATTTGGTATAAGTTTTTCAAAAACTTTCCCAATAGAATAAGATACATAGGAAAGGTTAATTGTGTGAAAAATGTGAGGAAAATCATTATTTCAAAATATCACTTTGCATGTGGTATTTTGTGATGAAAGAGGAAGTGAAAAATTGAACTCCAATCTCTTGACAAAAATAACCCTTCATTGTGTACAAATGTTCGTCTTGTGAACCTCTCTCGTTTACGGTTGTAACTCTCTTTCTTACTATTCCTCTCTTTCACTCTCTAATAATAGCCTATTTTGATGTTTTCTGATTTTATATAAATTTTATAGGCACAGCCGCACAGATTTCATTTTGAAAGCGTAGAAAAATGCAAATAACGAAACAAGAAAATTGGTAAACTTCAATACTTTATGCGAAATGGTAATTATCTCAAATTCCTGTTTCATAAAAGTTTAAAATGGAAATTTTGACTGGTGGCACCAAATTTGAGAAAAAATTATAAGGTTTATTTTTTTCATTTCAATCTATTTTTCCATCAATATTTTACCTTTAACCAAACATACATTCAAAAAATTTAATCCAATTTTCTTGGTAATATTTTGACCAACCAAATAACTTTTTTTTAACTTTCCTACTAAACTCATTTTCCCACCATATTCTTATTAATTATATTTCTCTAGTAAAAAAAAAAATCTCTACCAAACGCCCCCATAGACAAATGAAGTATTGAACTCGGATACTTCCTCTTACTAAATATGAAAAATCATTTTTATTAGTATTTTTTTTTGTATTATCTTTCAAATCTCAAAAAATTTCATCTTTCAATATGGATGTACCTTTATCTGCTGCATTGAAGGTTTTCTCCACACATAGAAAGTTACATCATATAAAAGTGGAAGTTGCTATTATATACCACCATTGATTTAACAGCCAAGAGTTTACAGATATTAATATGAGTTATATTTTTCTTATTTCATATGAGTGAAGTCAAATTATTTTACTCACAAAACAGATGTGGATCTAATTATCTTTATTTTTTCTCTTGCTTGTGGATATTACTTGTAATATTATCTTTGCTATATAAGATAATTCTTTTCATCTAAGCTTATCAATCCATTTTAGCCTACAAGGTCTTTTGAATCTATCGAGAATTTTAAAAATTAATTAAAATAATATAATTTGATTATTTAAAATTATTTTAACTAATTTTTTTATTTTGTTTAAAAAATAATACAATATAGGCTGACCTATTAATTTTAAAAATAAACTTTACTTTAAGCCAGAGCTTGATTTATATTAATATACATATTAGGCCTGGCTCGATCAGAAAATAAATTTTTAATAAATCATTTGATCTATTTACACCTTTATATTCCGTTTTAAGTTAATAATTAGCCTTTGCTCCAATAGAGTCATGTCAAATTTATAACTATATCTACATATATGAATGAGTCAAGTGTAATTAATATTGTAAATATACAAGGAGGGAGAGAGGGAAAAAAAAGACGAGAAGATTGCCAAAAACAAGGAAAAATCTTTATTGTATCACATTTGGTGTAACTTTTACACTTTCAAATATTTTGTGGGATAAGCAAAAGAAAGAAAGAAAAGAAAAATCAGACTAGAAATATATATATATTATACACTTGAATGGCAAATGCCAATTACATAGACTTTCATAAGCTATACACTTGTTTTAATAACTAGCTAGCTAGCTAGCTAGTTAATAGCAGAACATATCTTGCGAATTTCACCATCAGCACCCGACTTCAATCCAATATTGCTCATCTTCACCATAGACTTTCCAAATTCCACGCCAAATGTCAATCCAAGCAAGCCTCTTAAGCCCAAGTATCTCTGTACAAATGTCTTTGTGGAAGCATCATTCCAAAGCGCTTCATCAGATTGCAGAATTCCACGGCCGTTCCTCAAATTAGCAAAGTAAGATGTATCAAAATTGTTTTGACTACCGGTATCTAGCGCAACTCGGTTTGAAGCGCCACTGTTTTGAGGGCAGAGTGCTCTTAGTTGTGGAAGAAATGAAGGGTCGATGGAAGGATCAGGACCATTTGCGGTGAAGTTATACAATCTGTTACTGAAGAACTGGCATGCTGTAGTACCAATGGTATGTCCACCTATTATTTATTCATTCATGAAAATAAATCCGTTAATTCAACTCTTTTGAGTTAAAGTAAGCTTTTGAACACAACTTCAGTCTAAAATTCTGATTAATGATGATCAAATAATTGAAATTGAGTAAAGTTAATTATTACCAACAAGGGTGACGAGGTCTTGAGTGTTGAGACCCTTTGCTGCGAACTTCTGTTTCTGGACGTCAACAGAATCACTAGGTCCAGGCAAGTTATTGACATCGGAAGCCTGTGACACGCGCCCATCTTTGCGTCCAGTAGGCACTTGCCAACTCAGCCCACCACTCTGCAATAAATGCAAAAATTAAGGTCAATTATGAATATGTTGAACTCATGTTGTCAATTGATTCAACATGCTTTGCTAACAAAGACATATATAATATAATAAATTATACTACATACATAGTCTAAACACATTTACAGTTTGTTTTCCGTGTCAATTATTATTATTATTTTTTGTTACAAGTGGGGCACACCACAAATTACTGTAGAAACTTTCAAACTTAATAGAAAAAGATGAAAGCCCTTTAAACATAATAAAGAAATAATTTAATCCAAAAATTTGAAATTGTTAAATGAAGTGTGGACAATATTGATTAAGTATTATACTAAAAAAATTCATATTATTTAATTATTTATTAATAAAATAAAATAAAAGTGAAATTAAACTCCTAATAATCACAAAAGCGAAAAGAATTTTGGTGGTACTGGATCGTCATTTACTCAGGGATTAGTATCAATCAAAATCATACAATTAAGGAGGAGAGAGGAGAGAGAAGAAATAAAAAATAACTTTTTATCCAAATATCATCTCTTGGAAGGATCACTTAGAGCCTGGAGAGCACTAGGTGCTTGGATTCTCTCTTTTTTAAGCTAGAAGCTACTCATAAGCATAAGCTAGACCGAACAGATTTTGAGAAAAACTCTTATAATAAAAAACTCTTTTTTTTTAATCTCTTATATGTTTTTCTTGAATTATGTGCTTTTTTTTAAATGAAGAGTGATAAAGATAGAGAAAGATAATTTTCTTGAAATATGTGCTTTTAAGTAATATTCAAACTAAAATTTTTATGTAATTTCCAAACCGCTTTTAACTTCTCTTTTTAAGTTTTTTTTTTTTAACTTTAGTTTATAAGTAGTTTCTAGCTTAAAAATAAGAAAATACAAACATGCTCTAAAAGAAATTCACGCAAAAGTTCTGAAATCATATAAATTAAAGAAACGAATGATTTTTTATATTTCTGAAACAAAGTGGATCGACCATAGTTGAGATAATTAATTACCAGAACGACAGAGTCACGAGCAGCGAGGGCAACGATATCAGCACAAGACACAACACCAGGGCACGCAGCCTCGAGCTGCGTCTTTGCATCGTCAATAGCCTCGTATCCTCTTAAACCAAGGTTTGGAAATGCTGTTTTCTCAGTGGCAGTGCCAGAAATGAGAACAGAGGCGTCACAACCTTGCACAAAGCAATCATGGAAGTGCATCCTAAGCAACCCAGCTGTCAAAGTAGGATCAGACTTAACGTGGGATTGAACTGTGGACTTAACAATGGACTCAGCACGAGGACATGTACTCGAATAGAACCCTACCCTCGTCCCTTGGCCATGCACTTTGTTGACAATAATAGATAAAGCAAGCAAAAGATTAATAACTAGCAAGAACAAACCACCCTTCATTCTTGTAACGAATTGTAATAAATGCACTATCCTAAATGAATTGAAATGCAAGCTTAATTGATTATATGAAATAGTTGTATAGGATCAATGATATTGTGTGGAATACAATATGATATAGGTGAAGGTATTTATAGGAGAGGGATTAAGCTTATGGGGTCAAAATTAAGAGAGTGAGTAAGAAAAGTCGGCTACTGCGTAGAAACTACACAAGTGGGTATATAGTGGGAGTGGGAATGAGTTTGATGTTGTTGGAAGGTGGGCTCAAGGCTTTTGTCTTGTGACGGCCATGGCCATGTCCACCACCACGTGACGACTGATGAGGGTTTACTTTATATATATTTTATTGAGAGCGTATATTCTTACTACCAAAATTTTCTACAACTAACTTACTACCTATCTAATCACCATTGAATCAAAGAGAGAGAATGCTAAAAACTTTTTCAAAAAAGAGAAAATGTTGATCCAATGATATTAGATAGGTAGTGAGTTGGTAGTTAAAAATTTTGGTCGTAAGAATATCCCTCCTCTGTTTTATTAGGATTTAATGTATCTTATATTATAGAAGATAAATTTATCTCATATATTATATTTTTTTTCTTCTTATTTTTTCTTCTCGTATGAATTCACATAAATTTCATATATTTTTATGTATCTATGTGTGCACACACTTTTATATATAAACTCGGTCTTTTTATGGTTACAATCACCACTTCCAATAAGTGGAATCTTTCTAAGGAATGGGGCACTAATGGACTTCGCTTGGCTTGGCTTTGCTTGTCTCCTTCCTATGCAACGAACGAGGTTCGATGCTGCTTTTTGATAATTGTTATTATTATTATTATTATTTGAGTAAACATTATTTTTAGTCCCTGGCAATATTTACGAAGCCATTTTCAGTCCCTGGCAATAAAAAAGGATCAAATTGGTCTCTGAAAGTACAAGAAAAGGGTCCCTCTACATATTTGGGAGTTAACATAAGGACTAACATGACCCTTTTTTTGTAATTTCAGGGACCAATTTGGTCCTTTTTTATTGCCAGGGACTAAAAAAGACTTTGTAAATATTGACAGGAACTAAAAATAATGTTTACTCTTATTATTTTGGGCTCTGTACGTATCCCCACGTTGAATCGTGTTTCATAGATCGCGCGATATTCAGCTTAATTACCGCCATTTTCTATTTAGTTTTTTCTTGGTTAAAGCATATTCATACATTGTATATTTTTTATTTTGTTTTTATATTTCACTGTATTATGATAGTAAACATCAAATTAAGAACAATTATCTTAAATTAAAAAAATTTCCCGTATCAGCGCCAAAATTAAAAGTATCAGATATAAAAATAAGGGGTAGGATATTGTGTCAACCAAGTAAAGTTACAACCAATGTTACTACCAATCAATCTCACCGTTAGATTGGTAGTAACAATTCCACAGTCTTCGTTGGTCTCTTAAATAGTCCCTCTCTATTTATTTCTCTCTCCTCTTTTTCTCCACGGTCTTCATTGGTCTCTTAAATAGTCTCTCTGTATTCATTTCTCTCTCCTCTTTTTCTCTTTTCCCTTCTCTCTCTCGGTATATCCTCCTCGCGCCGCCGCTGCATTCAGCGGAGAGCTTGAATAGTATTGCAGTTTTTTATTCGAGATTCGATTTACCAGATTCGAGCTCTTGCGTGTGTGTGTCTGTCTCTTCTTTACCAAAAATTTAAAAACTCTGAATAATATGGATCTGCAACATCTTTACCAGATTCGGTTTGGTTTATTCACTGTGTCTGCAACATCTTTAAGATGGATCTGTCAATGAGTGATGAACCGAGTTAAGTTAAAAGAGAAGAAAAATCCTCCATTTCCAAAAAGAAAGGCAGAAAGATACAGTGATGTATATGGAGAGTTTGGTTAACTGAACTGATTTCTTTCATATATAAAAGTTTGGTTAACTGAACCTTAATCAATTCAGTTCACTAGAATTAACCAAACCATAACCCCAAATTCCAGATTTCACAACTCACGAACCCTAACCCCCTTTCTACTACCATTTGATGTTGGATTGAAACACAATTTTTAAATCGCAAACCCAGTCTTCGTTCGCAATTTTGGTTTCCCCCTCTATGTTCCAGTGAGTCGAGGAGTTTGCAATCCTATGCGACAAAGCTTACATGCTCTTCTAATTGATTACCATATAATTAGGTGGCGGCGCGACGGAGGATATACTGAGAGAGAGAAGGGAAGAGAGAGAAGGGGGAGAGAGAAACAAATAGAGAGAGATTATTTAAGAAACCAACGAGAACCGCAGGATCATTACTACTGATCTAACGGTAAGATTGATTGATAATAATATTGGTTGTAACTTTATTGGTTGTCACAATATCCTAGCTCTACAAATAAAATTATATTTTTTAATTTTTATTATACGCTGTCCATTAAGAGACAGAAGCGGACCCACTTCTCTTCCTCACCTTTTTTATTTTTCTTTCCTACAGAAAGAAATGTCTACGTGAAATGCTCCATTAATATTAGCTGAAAATTCACCAAATTACAGCGCCTCTAATTCTTTTGATTGTTTAAATAAAATAGGTTAAATATTTTTGATTTTATAAAATTTGATCTATATATAAACGTTTTATTTTGTATAAGTTTTATAAAGAAGAACAATGTTCATAATAATAAAAACATAAAATGTTCCCACAGTATTCAAGAAACCTTATATGATATAATAAAACTAATTAAAATTGTATTCATTAAATATATTTATGCTATAAAATATTTTTAAAAACTAGATCTTTAATAAGCTTATAAATAAAACTTCTACTAAATAATATTTACAATATTTGATTCAAACCTTTATATGGAAAAGTTATTGAAATCTAATTTAGTTATAATATATTTATACTACAAATTAATTTTTTAACTCTATCTTTAATAAATTCATATATAATAATTTTATTAATTGAAATTTATATGGTATGGGTGAAAACTTTATATAAGAACATGACAGAATTAATTAAAATTTTATTATGAAATATACTCTTACTATACAAAATAGTTTTAGTTATTTCTTAGATGATATTAATTATAAATAAAATTACTACTAATTAGTCCATGCATTTAGTAAATACATCTCAGTAGTTTTTACTAAATATTAAAAAAAAAAAAAAATTCTGCTTATATAAGTTTATTTTTAGCTTCTATGTTACTCAATAAAATCTCTATAAATTGGGCAATTTCATTATAATTGCATACTGAGAGATGAAATTACGTTTCTGATATATTTTTTACCAAAATTGATTGCGCATAATAGCACCAATTGATGGTGGTCCAGATAAAAATATTTTATTAGATAAATAAAATTATTAGTTATTTAATTATATTGGTTGAATATAATAATGAAACCTTTTCTATCTGTAGATATATTCATTATTATGTAATTAATTGTGCAGATGTAATATCTGAAGATATAATACATATGATCTACAAAAAGATATAATACACATGACATGACACTGCGAATATATTAATTCTATCTACAGAATTCATATATGGAACTTGGACTAATATTTGTGTTTGGACTATCTGTCGAGTACATTGAAATAAATACTTTTTTATTTGATTTTTTATTTGACAATAGTTAATTGGTATAACATGAAAAGACACAAAGAAACATTTCAATCCATTAATATTAATTTGTACCGTAGAGATTAACTTTTGATCTTCTTGAGAACGCAGGTGGCAGACTGCTAGGCTTGCAAGCCTCTCAAATCTCAATAATAAGAATCATATCCACTTAATTATATTTTTTTACAGAGTATAGCATTTCATATACTTTTTCTTTTTTTTTCACTCTTATTGATATAAAGGAGGCATGGAAGTTTAAACTTATTTTCATAATCCCCCACACAGAAAACTCAATGTTGCAACATGTGGACTATAATTAATTAACAGCAGAACATTTCCTGCGAATTTCACCATTAGCATCGGTCTTGATACCAACATTGCTCATCTTCACCATAGAGTTGCCAAATTCAACGTTGAAGGGACCAGTGGCTAAGTATTTGAGAACAATGGTCCTTGTGGAAGCATCAGTCCAAAGCACCTGATCAGAACGAAGAATTCCGTGGCCTTTCTTAAGGTTAGCGAAGTAAGAAGTGTCGAATTTGAATTGGCTACCTGTGTCTAATGCAACTCTCTTCGTTGGTTGGTTTTGTGGGCAAATTTGTCGCAGAGTTGGAACAAACGAAGGGTCTATGGAAGGATCAATGCCATTTGGGCTGTATAGTCTGTCTGCGAATGATTGGCAAGCAGCACTACCAATCGTGTGCCCACCTATATATGTTATGTATTAATTCACACAAACATATATATATATATATATATATATATATATATATATATATATATATATATATATATATATATATATATATATATATATATATATATATATTCATGTTTATCATTATATTATAAGATCTTAAATTGTAGTTTATATTTAGCTCAGTTTATGTTCTTCTCAATTATCTTTTTTGTGCGTTCCAAAAATTTTATTCATTACGCGTCAAGCCGTGCACCATATAAATTGATTGGGTTCGATTTGCTCCAAGCACAACTTGCATAAAAAAATTAAAAATACAAATAATGAATTTTGACATGCAAACAATTAACTAAATTGTTCCAAAGCATTTTTTAAATTGAAAATTGTTCAATAGGACAAATTTAACTTAATTTAATTATGGTCATATATGATTTTGTGCTAAAAATACAAATTAATTTAGAGACTGAGTAGAGGTAGTCATAGATTTTTAAAGACAAAAAATTAAAATTAAGAAATAATTTGAAATATATATTTTAAAAAAAATTATTTCAATATAAACTTATTGAAATATTATGAATGGCAGTAAATTAAGTTAAAAATTTATCATTTACGTACCATTAATTATAAACTTTAAAATTGCATATGATATTATAAAATGAGATAGGATATTGTTACTATCAATTAGTGTTACTACCAATGTTACTATCAGTTTATTTTATCTTTAAATCGATTATGTTGATCCAACGGTTATATTTATTTTCACATTTGTATGATTATGATTCCCCATATTTCATAACCATACAAAGATAGAAATAAATATAAAATATTAAATATAGGGAGAAGAAAGAAGATTTTTAGAAAGTTAAATCAGAATCGTTAAATCAACATAATCGATCTAACAGTGAAACAAACTAGTAATAACATTGGTAGTGATACTAATTGATAGTAACAATATCTTATCTCTTATAAAATAGCATACGATATTAAACGGAGTTAAAACAATCCGTCACCCAAAAATACATTGGGTCACAATATGAGATGGAAGGGTCTGAATATTCCTGGCTCAATCCCATTTTTTAATTACTTTCATGATTGTGTCACTAATTTTTTACGCCCTTTTAAATCTGCCAAAATCAGTTTATATTGTAATTACCATATATAGTCATGACTGAAACTTAAAAATATTCTAAACACAATTAACTAATAATAGTTACCTTTGGGTTTATGCATTTACACGATTTTTACTGGGATTCTGAAAAATAAGCTGGTATGGTTGTAATTGGTGATTCCAGTGAAAATGATGTATTTTTAGGAAGAAAAATGTAATTAGAGATTTATATTGAATTGAAAATGAAAGAATATAATGTATAGGTACCGGCAAGAATGACGAGGTCTTGAATGTTGAGACCCTTATTAGCAAACTTCTTCTTCTGGATTGCAACGCTATCATTAGGACCTGGCAAATTAATGGCTGCTTCAGTTCCAATTGAAACCCTTCCATCCCTCCGTCCAGTCGGCACTTCCCATCTTAGTCCACCACTCTGCATGTAATATAACTCATCAAATTAAATTAATTATTGCAATCTACCAATTAATTAATATTGAACTTCAACTGATCAAATTGTCGTCTATTTTATAGCGTTATTGGTAAAGAACCACGCTTCAACTCAAGGTTTTAAAGTGTCAAGATAAGAAGATTTTTTTAATGGTTTATATTATTCTCTAATATTATAAAATTAATATTGATAACGATTAAGTAACGGCCAATTAAGATTAAGTAAATTAATTACGAGAACAACGGAATCACGGGCAGCAAGGGCAAGGATATCAGAACAAGACACAACACCAGGACACGCAGCCTCGAGCTTAGTCTTTGCATCATCAATAACCTCAAAGCCTTTTAAACTAAGGTTTGGCCTAGCTTTTCTCTCAGTGCCGTCGCCATCAATGAGAACAGAAGCGTCACAACCTCTCACAAAGCAATCATGGAAGTGCATCCTAAGCAACCCAGCAGCAAAAGTAGGGTCAGACCTAAAGTAGGATTGAACTGTGGACCTAACAATGGACTCAGCACGTGGACATGAGCTCGAATAGAACCCTACACATGTAACTTCGCCATGCACTGTGTTTACAACAGCCGCAGCAAGCAAAAGAAACATTAGAAGGAAGCTTTTTTTCGACAATCCACCCTCCATTTTGTAAGGAAATATTAATAGCTACTAGCTGCAGCTTATACAGTAGTGGCTGAGAGTGTAGATTTTTATAGGGGTTTCATGTGTGTATTGGGAGAATGGAAATTTTCTTTAGTGTTATGGTTAGCCGCATCTTTCACTCACACCGCAACACATATCTTACTTTTTATTAAATTATTCTTTCAGCTGATTATAAAATAAAATTTATTAATAATTTAATAAAAATAAGACATGTCTCATATTATGAATAGAAGATATATCAAAAAATTTGATGCATCTGTACCACTAAAGATATTTTTGGGAGAATGAGTAAGAAAAGACGGCTACCTCAAATTAATTGCAAATGTATACCACGGATTGAAAGATATATAGGATAGAGCAGCGCTAGCTGGGATCACTTGTGTTATTGCCTTACATGAGTTTTTGTCCAAAGGTGATTTTGAATTTTCTCAAGTGCATATGCGTCAAAATTGTTCCACGCGAGGGTCCCTCGGATTCCAATGCATTTTGCCTCCTTCTTTCTCCCACATAATTTAAATCTTGATGCATGGCCCTTGAATGAAATTTATATTTATGACTACACATTCTTCTTATTCATTCTATAAGTTTGTGAAATTGACTTATCAACTTTACTATTAATTAGTGTTAGTATTAAAAACTTCTGCATATCACTCATTGTATGATTGTGCAATTGAGTCCTATATATGAACCTAATTTATTTAAATATATATTGAAAATGAGTAAGTATCATTTTATACCAGTGTAAAAATTGCACTTTTAATCTTGATCATGATTAATTTTATTTATATATAAAAATTCTAATTTATTAAATCTGTAAGTCGTTAAATAAAAATAAATTAATAACAAAGATGTGATATAAAACTTATTATTATTATTACATCGATATATAAAGACAATTGTGATCTCCATCACTTTCATGGTGGACATGGTTTTTTATTTTTTTATTTTTTATTTTTTTTTTTTTTTGAAGTACAAGGAATCGAACACAGCTACTCATACAGACTACACCACTAGGCTAGTCCTAGTGGTTCATGACGTGGCTTCTTACCTTACGAATACTTGAGATATGTAAGTGGGTCGTCCATGGTCAACTTGATATGTGTTCTTAATGTGAATATAACATGTAAATGATTTCTAAAATTCATTTTATATTACATCTGAGCTAAATACAGTATATTTGTCGAAGTCAGCATTTAATTATTCATCTCGATATTTGATGTGCTCATCCAAATAGATCAATCTCAGGTAATTAATTATATAAAAGAAATTACGGAACGGAGACAACGCATATGGAGAGTGGAGAGTGGAGACAATCGAAGTGAGACTCGCTCTATCCCGTGGTTGATTTTTGTTATGTGTGAATTTCACATGCTCTATCGATAAAGTGATAATACATATACTTTTCAATGACCATGTGAAATTTATATATGAGATGATCCATTTTTCTTTATTTCACACATTTTGGCAGTTTTTCTGTAAATTTCACATGATATAGTTGTGTAAATTTTATATTTATTTTATCCTTACAAATATTAAGTAGAGGAAATCCTATTGACATTTATAAATATCTATAAAGGATATTTATAGATATTTATGAAATTTTTATATGAGATATCCATTTTCCACTATTTCACACATTTTGGCAGTTTTTGATATAAATCATCGAGCTGTTTATGTCTTTTATTACTTAAATTAAACCTTCCACTACCATCCATTTTTCCGTTCATTATTCTCCGTTGAATCATAAAGATTCATCCGAATATGCTAACAGAAAAATTAATTTCGGCATAACAATACTCATACAGAAAATGACATTTATTTGTTTTGTCTTCGTGCTTTGTGCTATGGTTTAAAAAGAATAGAGTTAGAATGTGATTCTAGCCAAGCCATCCAGATGTTAAAGGAGCAGCATGAAGATCCTAGGGACTCTCAAGTCACTAGCAGATTGAGATTATGGTTAAAAGCAGATTGGACTATTCATCTTGTTCATACCAAGAGGGAAAACAACAAATGTGCTCATTGGTTAGCTAAAGCTGGGCAGACTAATAATCTTCATTTCAAGATTTTTAAAGATCCTCCTCCTCAGTTGATGGAACTTATAGTTGCTGATGCTAGAAATATGTCTAGCTTGTTAGTTTCTGATTTGTATTTTCTTTCTGTTTATGGGGCTTAGCCCCTCTTTATTTACAAAAAAAAAAAAATTCAATTTAAATTCACAATAATCAAATACATTGTACGTGTCACTTAATTTTTCATTTAAATCCCTCGCGCAAGATACAAAAGGGAAAGATGTATATGAAGGATACAACTGTTACGCTTGAGATTTTGTGGACCGTATACCGCGCGTGCGTATTTTTCCATAATAGTCAAACGAACATAAAATATATTATTTTATCTCTCTCTTTTTTTCATATTTATTATGGCTTACCTCTCTAATATTGTTATATCAGAATCTCAACTAATTTTTTTTATTCCTTCCTCCTCTCGAGATTCAGATATAACAGTGTTGAAAAAATGGTAGATAAGGTAGACATGAAAAAAAAAAAGGTAAAATAACCTATCTCAAAAAATATATTGAGTTTTATCTTCTTCTTTTTATCCCTACATTATAAGCACATGTTAAAGTTTACTTATTTTAGATTCTATTCATGTTCTCTTGTGGTTTATCTTTGCTCCTCTAGGCTAGACCATCCCAATTTATTAAAAAAAAAGATTAACATTTTTTTAAAATAATTTTTTTCATTTTTTTGAAATATTATATCTCTTAAAATAAATGCTAAATTTATGACTGTTACACTTAAAGATTGTTGTGCTAGCATTTTAGATCCTATTTGGTGTAATGTATAAGACCTGATAATATAAACTTATATTATATAATATGATATTTTTAGTTATTTGGTGTGACCATCATATAGTATAAATTTATACAACAGAATTTCTTAATACATCACAATGATGTATAATTTAATCAGGGCATGAAGGGATGGGATTAGGCTCCTTAAGGGATTGATCTCTTCCCATTTTTTCTTCCCCATTATAACTTTTTTTTTCCTTTTCTCCTCTTCCCCATTTTCTTCTTCTTCTCCCTTTCTTCATCAAACATTGCGTTTGTGAGAAAATTAGTAATTACATGTGCCTCACAACACCATCTTGTCTACAAATCCCATATCCCTCTCTCACCCATCTTTGCCATCTCCTCCATTTCCCCTTTCCTCACTCTACATGTAAAAATTTCAAACTTTCTATCTTTCATGTCCAACCCGATTCCAGACACGAAAACCCACAACCATAATCATCAATCATCAAACCATGACACAGAAAATAGAGAAAGAAGAAATAGAGCTCAAGAATTAATATATTAAAATAAATAATTTTTCATTATATTTTTTTTTTTTTGTAATACAATTTTTCATTATATTAATTTTTAAAATATTGGAGATTTTTATTTCTATAAAAACTAATATATTTTTTGGATAAATTGTTCAATAGATTTTTTATAAAAATTAATATCATATGACATATATCTTTATTAAAGGATATTTTTGACCAAAAATATTTATTTTTATCCTATCTAATATTATACAGTATATTACTATAAACTGTATGATGTTATCTTATACAATATCATACTAAATATTATCAAAATTTATCTTATAATTTGCAATAACATGCCCTTAGTAACCCAGTGGGGTCTCTGCAACACGTATGATATCAAATATACTGTAGTTCGTGTGGGCTTCTACTTCTAATTAATTTCTTTTTTGAACTGAATTTTGAAAAAAAATTCGTATAGATTAGCTGCTTCTCATAAATCCTCCCCAACTGCTACCAAAATAATTAAGATGACAACAAAAATAGGGTTATTAAATCCGAATCGGGTATCGATTCAGTTGGAGTATTGGGTCACTGGGTCAGATCGGTGGGTCACTGGTCGGACCGGTTGACCCGGATATATATAGATATATATATATAAATATGAACATATAAATTCAATTATATTCTCCATATCTAAAATGAATTAAACAAGATTCATTAAATAAGTTCAAAAACATGAAGTATAAATAAATAAAAATGCATGATATTACTATGTCAATTTAAATTGTAACTCAGAATTTCCATAAACATACTTCTCAATGACATTGAACTCATATTTTTCAAATCTAACTATATTAAAAATGACATATGTCACATTCTTTTAATTTATTATTCCGCAAATTGCTTCAGTATTGAAAGCTGAAATTTGAGGTCATTGTAAAAGAATATACTAACAAATAAAATTACAAAAAAAAAATTAAAATGAGTTATATATTTTTTTTGACAAGATGTAATAATTTTGGTTTTTTAGTTTTTTTTTTTTAAATTCATGACCCGACCGGGTCACCAAGTTTGATCGATTTTGTTCGGATTTTGACCGGCCGGGTCAATGCATGACTGATCCAAAGCTTGACCCGAACCGGTCCGATGACCGATTCGTCGAGTTCCGGACCCGACCGAGTCGGGCCGAGTTTTACAACTATGCTTAGAAGTGTGTACTTGGAGGACTTAATTGGCATTCTTCCATACCTGCGTGAATGAGAATTTGCCGACAAAATAAAATAAGGTTAATATATTGGTCATGTAATAGGGAAATAAAAAGTTACACACAAAAGTTGGGAGAGAGAAACAAATATAAACAGAGAGAAACAAAAATTAACGGGCCTCACGTTAATCTTGTATGTACAGGAAAACTTTTTATTTTCTTATTACATGAATAATATATTACCCATAAAATAAAATTTCCTTAATTAAAAAATTGATCTATTTTTTTTTTTTGTAGTTAAATTTGATCTATTTAATACAATGAAATTGTTGTAACCGGTTATTTTATTTGTATTCTTAAAGGGGGACAAATATTTCTTTGTTATGATTTTTTTTTGACATAAATAAAAATTAAACACATAACCTAATACAACTTATTCAAATCCGTGACCACAAATAAAAATTGAACACATACCCGATGAAATAGTTAGATTCATATTTTTCATACCAGACAATCTTCTTTTCCTATAAACACTCCT